TCTACAACGTCGACCCGGACAACTTGAACGCAACCAAGGATCCTAGCAATGCTGCAGCCAACTATGAAAACATCAGATACGCGACTTGTCTCGGTTTAAGCATGAGGTAAATGTCTAAATAGAAAACTCTGTGGCCCATTCCACAGGTTAAAGTTAACCACTATTTTTCCTTCGCAGGTACAACAAGGACCCCATCTACTACACCGAAAAGGGTAAGGGTAACGAGCTCCTAGAACAATGGGACTTTTTCCGAAATGACTGGAGGGGAAATTACAATCAGCAATACTTTTGTGCCAACATTCCAAATGCACGGCTTAAGGAAAGCAGCGATGACGGTGAGTCGAGTCGTGGGTGGAGTTTCAGACTGAAACTCTTAAAATCCTAAAAATCCTGATTTTAACGTCACCTATCTTCTCACCTGTGTAATCTTGGGGTTAAATTGATATTTTTTGAAGACTATTTTTCCTGCTAATAATTGATGTGGTGAATGGTATCAGTAATCCACTCAAAATTATTTTCTCCCTTCAGTACCACAACCCGATTGGCCGAAACAGGTTTCCAAAGATGAAGGTTATCGGACGCCCCACTCCCTGTTCTGGTTGCAAGAGCCAACTTCTTGGTATTGGTTTCCGAGATGGACCACTGATAACCAAATCAGAGGAAGACTCATACAACGAGCTAAACTAAGCCCGGAAACAGGGTTCATTTTTAGCGTGAATGTTACAGGGATCAAGAGCAAGGGGCGGTTCCTCAAGGGTAAAAGTTGTTAAGTTAATTTTAAATGAAGAAATTTAATCAGAATTTTTTAACAGGCTGGTATCACCTCAAAATTACGCTCGAAATCGATCACAACGTCGGCTTCCAGAACGGTGCTCAGCATTCTATAGATCCCTCCAAAGTGGCCAAAATTCGGAGAAATGTTGTCGTTGACAAGTTAATGGTCACGGCGCGGGGGAGGGCGCTCGTCCTGGCGAAACCGCGCCATGTGCACAAATGTATGCATCAACGTATCCAGGGCAGAAATTGACCATGTGGTAATTACATTGTTGAATTTCTTTTCCCGTAGGGAGACAATATTCGAGACGGGCCTGGGTCGGCGGAATTGGCGAATTTGTCCAGGATTTTCCCAAGTGTGAAGAGTCTGAATAGAACAAGGAATATGTGACCCAACAGTTCATGCCGTGTGGCGCGGTGCAGCACGGGGAGGCGGTGGTAAATAATGCATTTCTATTTTTGCTCGGAATTTGTCCATCAGTAGATTTCTTACATTTCTCATTGTTTCTACCAGTATGGAAATAATTTCTACTACACGAGGACCAGGAACAACGCCAAGACAAAGTACGGCAAAACCCAGTTGAACGAGGAACAGTTAACGGAAATCCATCTCAATTTCAAATTGGACAACTCATTCTGTAATCGTTATTATGATCTCGATTTTGTGTAAGTTTTGTGACATAAAATTCAATAACTAGTTTTCGGGTGAAGAGTGATCTAACTAATCCGAAGTAAATGAAACATTTAATTCCAGTGTTAATGGGATCGTAATCAGGCCAGACGAGTGGAACAATCCAGTTTATCAAACCAACCCCAAGCCAAAAGGTGTTGATGGAGTGTTCAGTAAGTTGAGTAGATAAACACGTAATTCGAAATACTTCTGACTTCAATTTACTTTTTCCCAGTGGTCCAACGCTCCGTCTCCACCCGGTTTGTGTTTTCTTCCTCTCACGCCATGCATGGGCCGACATTCTACGAAAATGCTGACCCTGTCCCACGTGGCGTTGAACATGTCACCTGCTCCGCTCCACTGCAGGGCGAGTGGATCATGAACCCTGACCCGACCGGGTTTACCTGGCCCGGTCACAAAAAGAAGCACCGTGCCTCCATCACTGCCGGGGCAGACTTGATTCTCAACCCTGACGCCATGGCAGATTCGACATTCGGTGGCGCCATCAAGTTCATCTACGCAGTGCCAACAAGGGAAGAACTCTACAGCCTCCACCCGCCTTGGTACAGCGACTCTGGGAAACCTTACACCACTGAAACTGATGAGATCCGCAAGAAATTTGGAGGTCGACGAACTTGGACGAATCAAGACCCACTCTTCAAGAAGGACAAGAAGGACAAAGGAGAGCTATCCATGTGGACGGCGTGGAACGACTATTTCGAATACCCGCCCGCCCTTGCGTCTCGGCCCAAAGCCCAGCCCGCCTACCACGCCGCTGTACAACGCGTCCTCAATGAGTTCGACTGGGAGACGTGGCGGGCCCACGCGGATGACGTGAACCCTGGAGCGCCGCCACCTTGGGTGAAAGAACAGCGTTGTATCCTCTATTCCAGCAGGACGAAGGCCTTCGAATCATACCCGCACCCCTACTACGATGCGACCTGTATCGGCATAGACGCCGAGCACGGGGTGCAAAAAGACCATCCCTATAACCTCGTAGACACGACGGTTATCTCCCGACGCCTGCAACACACGATTGCAATAATGTACAACCAGCTGGACGCTTACTTTCCCTTCTCGGTTTTGCTAGGCGAGCAATATACAAATGGTATAGTCCCGATCACTGGGCGGTGCAAGGCTTCCCTGTGGAATACCAATGGCTTTGGGAGTCCTTACAACTATCCCCCGAAATGTGACGCGTTCTTCAACTTGTTTAACGAGGTAACTTTAGGTAAGTGACGGGAAAAGGTGGGTAATTCTTGGGGGTAATATTTTCAGTAAAAATGAGTGAATATCTAATTTAAACTCCAGTTTGGATTAGTTTGATTCGCGAAAAAAACAATACACATATCCACGTCATTATTTTGCCCTATTTTTCAGATCCTGCGCTGGGAAGGGTCATCAAAACGGTGGAACACCAGAAGAACACAAGCTCACGGAGGAAGGTCGATGAGAGGTTGAAAGAACGAAACAACAAGAACAAGTTCCGTTGTGATTTGGCTGATGCGATGTATGATCCGGGCTTTCAGTGCCCCGTTTTCCTCCCACGACCATTCACCGTTGAACCGAAAGGTGAGAGATCATATAAGTAATTTTGACCTCTCTGTCACCCTGATTATTTATATTATTCGTCTATGAATGATGTCCAGCCAATGTGTCGAAAGACGTGGAGAAGGAGCTCCTCAAGAAGACAAATGCGTACAAGAGGGGCATGATGGCGGCGGAAGATCCGTACACGCTATTCATTTGGGTGAGCCTTTCAGTTTATGCTAATCTAATTTAATTGTTAATTAACCCCTTATTGTAATTTAATAGGATTCAAGGCTTATTCATGGAATTTTTATGACGATCATTGCCATTTTTGTGACCCCGGTGAGCTTTTTTATGACGCGGTATTTCAAAGAGACCTTTATGAACGGTCGGATCTTCCTCCATCACGTCTGGTTTTTTGTGAGTGCCGTTTTTGAGTGAGTGCTGGCTGGATCGGTAATGATGATAATTGGTTTCTGCTGATGATTTGTACCAGGTTCATATTTCTCTCTCCTTCATCACCATTCTCCTATTTCTGGTCGGATTGACGCGACAGATTGGAAGCAAGGCGATGCTGGGGGTTAGTTTAAGACGTTCGGCCACCCTGCATCGCAGTATGGGTTGGATTTCAGTCGTAATTTCCGTCCTGCTCTTCATCCTGGGTGCATTCCGACCAATGGGTCACCAACTTCGAGCGGTCATAATTATCATGCATGGGACCATGGGGCTCGCATTTTACTTGTTGTGTCGTAAGTCAATACTTACATAATTTGCTAAATTGGGAGGTCATCCAAATTGAAATGTTTTGCGACCTCGGCAGTGGTGTGTATGATGACGGCAAACGCAATTCCCGGCTCACCCGCGGCCTACCAAGATTTTGCGGTCCTCTCCTTCTTCGGACCCAATCTGACTAAGGAGGGCGTCTTCTTGACTGTCATCTTCTGGATTGTCTTGCATATTGTTATGCACATCGGAATGGCGGTACATATGATCACAACTCGAGAAGATGCTATACTTGTCAATACTCGTAATGAATTATTGCTTATCTTCATTTCATTAAATTTCAGATTTTGCAATGTCGCAGTGACGCAGCAATGAAGCTGACTCGACGTCGTATCGTCCTCTTCTCACTGATTCCTGTTTTGGAAGAAAAACAACGATTCGATGCGCCTGTGAGTCCATAATAAATATGAAAATTGCGTAGTTCTGAATTAAACAGATTAAAATTGTGGCATGGTCGTTTCGCTCGGATTTACATGCTCACCGCGTACGTAGCAGTGGCGCTGACCTGCACTTTCACAATCTGCATCCTAATGTTGAACTACTCTCCTCGGAATAAGGGGCTCGGATTCATGTCATGTACACACGAAGGGGAGACTAACGACGTTCGCCTAAACTACACGTGTTAGGTCATCTTGTTTCTCCAAAATCACCTCAAAATCAAGTCAATGCCACAACTTTGTCACAATGAAGAAAAAACGTTCGGAACCACCGTAAAAATTAGAAGTGAACTATATACTCGACTTTAGTGAACAATTTAAGTGCTAAAAACTAATACTCCTCCTAGGCGTCCGATGTTAAGTACATATCGGAATATAACAACGCCTCTGCAAATGAACTAAAAAAAGTAACAACATTGGTGGTTAGACCAATTTAGGTATCTTAGGTTTAAACTTATGAAAGAATTTGAAATATTTTGTTATGTAACAATGCTTATATTACATGCGTTTGTGATAATTAAATTTTTTATATTCAAATCATAGTTCATGCCACATTTTTGTTAACCGTCTATTACAGTGTAATAGTTATTATTACGCTGTACATTGAGAATTACTAGTTTGAACTACCGAGAATAAATACCTAGTCGTGATAAATATTTAGTAATTTTTAATTGGCAGTTTCTATACTGATTTGTAATTAATCAATCCACTAATAATCAAATTCAAATAACATTCGAGATTCAAACGTACAGAATACTTAAATAAAACAGAATCTGGGAAAATAAGTGTAAATATTTTGGCTAGTTATGGCAAAATTAAAAAATAAAGGTCTCGACTTATGGAAGGAGTCGAAAACATTGATGAAAATAGATACCAGCAAGGACTCGCTTGTGGGGGAGAGTCTGGGATCGAAGAGCAAATCGGGATCACTTTTCATCGATGAGAACGAAGACCCTTGGACCGCACTTCCAAAACATTTGAGGAATAAGAAGAAATTGACGTATATCAGGATTCATAGGTCAGTTTGAAGTCACTTCCGGTTCAAAATAAAAAGATGAAAAAGTGCAAAGTCAAGAAGTTAAAATAATTCTTGGGATAATATTTGAGTCCATATTAGAAAATCAGCTAATTAAATACATACTTGTAATTTGTTAACTGCCGGTGGTAAAATCGTCATCAATATAATTTTATAATTTACGAATATAATTCACCAATTGGCAATGTGATACTCTCTCGCCTTGAAAATATAAGTAGTTTGTTTCATTTCCGGTTCGAAAAAATGCCTAAAATGACTTCGTTTTTCACATATTTGACGCGACTTTGTCATCAACTTTCAGTTTGACCCATGACCTTTATTCTTCTTCCAGTGATTTAAAGACGACAACTCGCTCCATCCAATTTTTCCTCCTCTTGTGGAAAGACTTCGTCACGGTGAAACGTTGCTGGGCGAGAACCTTGTGCGAATGCTTCACGCCCGTCCTCGCCATCGCCATTCTCACGCTGATTGTCTCATTTTGGAAGGAAGAAACCCGAACTGCCAGCACGTATCAAAGTTTCGGCGTCCAAGTCCCCCTCCATATGTTCAAAGGGTGGTGAGTCGAACGTTTGTAGTATGTAAATACATATATCGCTACCGTTGGCGTCTTTGTAAATTCGTCACTATTTTGACTTGTCAGCTCCAAATTCGTCTTCGTTCCCAACGTTCCTGTCGTGTCGGACATAATGAGCGCAGTTAAGGTGGAATTTAGTAATAATTATACGTGTAAGTTGAGTTTAATATATCAGCTAATTGGATAAGCGAAATTGTGAAATTTCTCATCTTTTAGTTACTCTGGTTGACTATGAGTCACAACTTTTAAAAATGTCGGATCGCGATCTCTGTGCTGGAGTTGTCTTCAACTTCAAACCGACCGAGTTGTTGACACCATTGTTACAATTTGGACAATTTATTGACGTAAGTTGAGCGAAAGTAGTATAGCATTGTCGGTTTTGCGAGAATACATATGTAATTTTTCGGATCGATGTAATAATTTCGTATTGCCAATTTCCTGCCGCAGTACAAGATTCGTCTCCCCGCTGTCCACCCCAGCTCCGCCGCGATGAGTGCTAAGAACAAGAAGAAAAAGGGTTACACGGGTCACGTCATGCGGGGGTCGTTGTGGCAAACGACTCATATTTATCCCGTACAACTCATCACGGGTATGTCGATAAAGGTTACAAGATATGAGTGGAATATGGAATATGGAATATATAAGTGCTTCATATTTTCATATTTACAGGGCCGAGGAATGAACATGAGTCTACTGGAGGGTCCCCAGGTGAGTGGGTGGTGTGGACCTCAAAATTCATTCACATTTTCAGAATGAATGAAATGATTTGAAATTTTACCAAAATTCTTTAAAACTGAATAATCTCTCCTCTTTTCCAGGCTATTTCGACGAAGGGTTCCTTCTTTTGCAAACGCTCGTCGCGGAGAAGATAATTCATAATATTTACATTGACCGACTCTCGAGCACTACTTCCCTGGCGGAGGCAGAGGACAGCTACAACGCTCGAATAGAACACCTCTTTCTCCAACTGAACCGATTTCCCTTCCCGTCGTACAAAGATAACAATATCGTCGCCCTCATCCACGACATCCTTCCGCTCACCGTTGTCGTCGCGTACATGATCCCCTTCATGCTCATGGTTTATGGCTGCGTGGTGGAGAAGGAGTCTGGAATTAGGGTGGGTGAATTGGTTCTGCTTGGAAACATTTGAACTTACCGCCTCTGCGCCTAAATTATGAAAAAATCTCGCAATTTGTTTTCGCTTGAATTTAGTTACAAATGAAATCAGTCGGGATTCCGATACCTTATCACAGAACGGTCTGGGTGATACGATGTCTACTACTTCACCTTCCACCGGCTATGTTGATCACTGCAATTTTGGATGTAAGATTAATTATCTGATTCGTTATATATATCAAAATTATTATCCAACCTACGTAGACGAACTGGTCGAAATACAAAACGGAAGGAGTCCTTACCAAGACGAATCCGGTCGTTTTCTTTTTTATGATGGCGGCATACATCTTCAAAACCATAACTTCTTCGATGCTGCTCGTCACATTTTTTCGGAGAGGTATTTATGCATCGTATTATAACATGTTAGATGTTCAATTTTCACATTTACTCTTTTGAACTAGCCTCCACTGCGACGACATCGTGCTCCTTCGTCTGGATCGCGTCTTATATTCCGTACTATTACATGAAGTCAAACTACAACGCGTTCCGCTTCTGGCAGCGAATCTTTTGTTGCATTTTGGGCAATACTGGAATTGCATTAGGATTGCATCTGATCTCTGAAGGCGAGGTACATATGTGCAAAAAAATCCGCTGAAATTTCATTGAAAAAAAAATCCGCACCAGTGGGAAATTTAGATTTAAATTCGAACAATGTAAATTTAGGGTCACGGCGTGGGGATCGATTGGATCAACCTGTTCCAAGTTCAAGGAACGGCGGCGAGGTGGTGGGACACTTTTACGGTCGGCTGGGTCGTCGTCATCATGATCGCTATCGGCATTACAGAATTATTTTTGTCTCGCTACGTGCTGCGTCTCATTCCAGAAAAAGGGTTGAGTGCCCTCCCCTGGAATTTTTGTTTCAAATGGTGGTACTGGAAGAAACTTCCCCCTCCGGATGAATCTGAGCGCCTTCCCGCCCATATTTTAAACGCACTCTCGCTGGAGGAGCGCTTCCCGGGAAACTTTGAAACGGAATCGGCTGGCAATGTGAAGCGTCGGAAGGAGCTTCAGTTAGAGCGAGTCACAAAATACTACGGCATGGAGAGAGTTTTACATAAATTTAATTTGAACTGTTACGAGGGCGATGTTACGGCGGTAATTGGAGAGGCAGGAAGCGGAAAGAGTACCCTGTTAAATATTATCGCAGGAATAACACCCGCCTCGTCGGGTCAAATTACCGTGAGTCGGCAGGACATGGGAAAAAGTAGGGCGCAAGCGATGAGTTTCGTGGGGTATTGTCCCTCAGAAAACATTCTTTATCCGTGGTTAAGTGTAGAAGAGACGTTGGGGATGTATTGCAAGGTAGCTAAATTTTTGTATGTAAATGCAACTGAATTTTTTGTTTGAGCGAATATTTTGAAATTTATTGATTCTTCAAAGTGTGTACATATTTTGGCTAATTTCGCTTAATTTATCGCTCGAGTTCCCATTTATTGACCATTTCGTAATTAATTTCCAGCTAAAGTGCACCGCTTCCAGATTAATCCAATGGGACGAAGTGAACCGTTTCGTCAAAGCTGCAATGCTCGAGGAGTACCGCACTTCTGTCGTCTACGATTTGACACCATCCGCCCAACGCGTGCTCATGGTCGCGTGCGCCTTCATCGGTGGCTCTCGCGTCGTTCTACTCGACGAGCCGACCAAACATATGACCGCACCTCAGAAGAAAATGACGTGGGAGTTCATCTCGCACAACAAACGCCATCGTACCATCATCGCTGCCATGTCGTGCATGAACGAGGGCGACACTGTGGTCGATAAGGTGGTCTGTTTGCAGCGAGGCGAGGCAAACTGTAACGGATCGATACGTTTCATGCAACAAAAGTTCGGTGAGCATGTAGCAATTAAGAGAAATTTAATGTCAAATTTCAATTTTTTCTGAAATTTTTGCCCAATTTTATTTATAAACTAAAAGATGACAACCTCCACTGGAATGCGAAATGATTAAATAATTTCCTTACATTTTTAGAGGGTGGATATCATATAATTTTGACCAAATCTGCAAAAAAATGCGACATAGACGGAATCCGGAAATTGATTTCGAGACGAATCGGTGAAGCATACCTATCCCCTGGGGATGAAAGTAGTGAACTGATCTGCTTCCTTCCGGAGGATAAGACGAGCGTATTTCCCGTACTTTTCGACGATCTGGACAGAGAGCAGGAAGCCTTGGGGATAACTGGATGGCATAACACGTACCGGACGATGGATGAGGTGGGATGACTTTTTTAAATCATGACAAATTTACCTGCTCGTAAATCTTCAATTTTCAGAAATAATTGCCACCACATTTTTTAATCGTATTTTTAAATTTAATTTTAATTTTAAGTGATTTTATTCCCTTTATCTTCCCAGGTATTGGGAAACGTTCGTCGGATCGCAATGGAGACCGATTACGACCCCGAACACCGCAAAGCCATATACAAAGGAGTCGAAGAGGTTAAAATTGATCAAAATTACAAAAAGCTTGAAGGGATTTCCTACCATCTCCTTTGCTTTTGGCTCCTCCTCCTCAAAAACCTTCGATTTATCATAAGACGCAAGAAAACTCTGCTCCTTACCACAATCGTTCCCGTGATTGTGACAGCAATCAGTTTGACGGCGCTGATGTACTCTCATTTCGAAGTTGACCCTGTTCCACTGACGCTTAATTTTGACGTGAGGATTTAACTGAGTATCATTAATTGGATATTGGTTGAAAAATTGCATTATTTATGAACATAGCATGAGGATTACGTGGATCCTGAAGTACTGTTAACGTGCCGAAATGCTGTGGATGAAGGCATCTTCCTCTGTGAAAGTGTGGAATCTACTTTTAGGACAAAATATCCCAAAGCAAATGTCAAAACGTTGTCCAATCAGTCGATCCAGGATTACGTATTGGACCACGTGAGGACTTTCCAATTTTGAAATTACGGCGTTCATATGCTTTTTTGCATGAAAAAAAACAAATTTTGTGTCTTTATTAGTATAAAGATGATGTCCGAGAAGAGGACGCGCCCATTTTGGGGATCGAAGTTAGAAACAATTCGCACCAGAAGAAATACATTGAAATAGTTGGTCACTTCAACAATCAACCGTTACACATTGCTCCCATTGTGCTGAATATTGTTGATAATGCTTGTCAGTAAATTTCGGCCAAGCGCACTGTGCCAGAGGTTTTGAATTATCATTGTTATTTACAGTACTCGAGTATATGATGACGTACCTAAACACGCTGTATCCCTCGTTTGCCAAATCACGTGGTTTTTGGAATTACACGTTGACAGTGATCAATGAACCACTCCCGTTCACGCCGGGGGATCATATCGCTTTTGCAGGGATGTTTACAGGGGTCGGATTCGTACTTGGGATAGCGATATCGTTCGGATTCGCATTTTTGGTCTCGTCATTTGTCATTTTGCAAGTGCAGGAGAAAGATTTCAAACATTTGCAGGTATCTATCTCATCCTAATTTCCTCAAAATTGATGGAAATTTTCAAATTTTCTGAATCTTATCACGAGTTATACAGATCCCCGATCAAATGTACTCGTGCATATTTATGGTTTTGTATTTATGACAAAAAAATTGTATATTTTTGAGATGCTCGCTGGTGCTTCTTCCTTATCCTTCTGGTCAGCCAACTACCTCACCAACTTTATCCACTTTAGTGCTTCAGCGGGCCTCGTGTTTGTCGTGGTGTGGGGATTTTCTACCAATTTGGAACATTTTGATATTCGTGACTGTCTCATCCTCTTCATTCTCCTGCTCGGTTATGGAGCGACGAGCGTGTTTTTCGTTGGGGTGTGGTCTCTTTTGCCCTCAATGGGTTATGGAGTCGCCTTCAGTCGCACCTTGTTGTTTCAAATCCTGACCGGACCGCTGTTCATGTTGGTGACGATGGCGATTAGCGACCCATCCGTACACACGCCAGGGATAGTGATGTCACTGACGGAGAATATTTTTCTATTTTTCCCTTCGTACTCCTTGTCGATGGGGGTGTTTTACATCTTCTCGAATGCTGTATTGAGGTTTCAGTGTGCAAGGGTAAGTAAATTTTGGCAATGTGTTATTTTAACTTGGAGGCTGAATTTTTGATAAAAGAATTGAGATATTTTCTTATGAATTTTCGAGTTTTTTCTTATATGCATAGATAAATATTTTAAGAATACAAACAAATTGAAGTTTTCTATTTTCTTTGCTAGTCTTGAATTTTCTTTATAAAACTTTTGATGTGATTTTTATGTTTCTTGGTGGAAATATCAGTATTTTCGTTAAATATTTCGTAGTTTTGTTAGACATAAGAGAGAGAGAGAAAACTTTTTGGGGATTTTTTTAATCAAAAATAAATTCCAAAATCCTTTTTTTTCATATGTTGACTAGGTCCCCGAGTTCACTGCTCCTGGAGCCTGTGATAAGCCCGAGTTTGCCAGCCGTACACCTTTGAATGAGTTTGAACGACAAGTTGGCAACGAGGCGTTGTGGGCGTGTTGCATCAACGACCGGCTGAGCTTCGACCTGTTGGCATACGGCGTTGGAGAGAATCTTGGCTGCATGTGTGTCGTGCTCGGCCTCTGTTTCCTTATCCGCGTGGCGAAGGAGTCGGTAGTGTGGACGTGGTTGAAGAAGGGCGTCGCCAAGTGCGCAATGCTCACTTGGGAGCGTTACGACTCTTTTGAACATGAAATCTACGACTATGACGTGCTAAGCGAAACGTTGAGGGTGCTCCATACGGAAGTAGATGACGAAGACTTGGTTATTCGGTAAACGAAAGATCTTTATATTTTTCCAACTGTTAAGTCGAAAGTTGTTTAATTTTTTGTATGTGTGTGGAGACAGATTTTTCACTTAAATTTCCAAGAAATAAAATGAGGTTTATACACGTTGTGCATTTTTTTCTAGAAATTTGACGAAAGAGATCCCCGGTTCCAAGAAGGTGGATAATCTCTGCATGAAGGTGGAGAAAGGGGAATGCTTCTGTCTCCTTGGTGTCTCCGGGGCTGGAAAAACGGCCGTTCTACGCATGCTTGTCGGCGCCAGGATGCCCACTTCCGGCGATATTACGGAAGCTGGCCTCTCACTGAGGAAGAATTATCCAAAATATATCCGCAAATTCGGCTACTGCCCGTACGAGTCGCCTTTCTTGAAGGAACTAACCGGCCAAGAGGTCATAAAATTGATTGGAACATTACGTCGCATCCCGCGCCAAGTGCTGGAAGGACTGATAACGAACTTGAGTCTGAAACTGCTCTTTTTACACGACTTGGACAACGTGATTTCGACTTATTCCGCTAATTCGGTGAGGAAGCTCAGTGCGGCCGTGGCGATGATTGGCGACCCGAGTGTCGTGGCTTTAGACGAGCCGACGAATTCTATCGATCTCATATCACGAGAGCACTTATTTAAGAGCATTAAGGGAATGGTGGACAGGGGGAGTATTGTCGTGTTGGCGTCGAGGAGGTGAGAATGGTGACAGTTTCAACATCATGGTTTAATATATTACGGAACATCTTAAAAAAATAAAGACATTTTCGAGTTTTGGGATGAGTTTGTGAATGCCTTTGTGGCGTTTTGTAGTGTCGCCGAGTGTGAGCAGGTGTGTACAAAGATGGCCGTGATGGTGAACGGTATGACATTATAACAACAGTTTCGATTAATTAATGTCTTGAATACCAACCTCGATTTCTCTCTCCATCTCCAACATATTAGGGACATTGAGGTGTTATGTAGCCCGAGCCACTTAAGGGACCTATTTGCGGAAGGGTTCACAGTCATTGTCAAGTTTGTTCTGGATCCGAGAAAGGTATTCACATAGTGTGAAAGTACTAATTTGAGTCTTTAGTTTATTTTTTTCAAAATATCCAATAAGCTGCATGTGTCCAATTTTCATTTCCTTTAAATTTTTTCCAGATCTACTTTACCACCCGATTCGAGCAATTTCGAGACCACTCACACCCCAACAACGCGAAGAGAGAAAAACAAAACCTAGCCTCCGAATCTACGACCACGACGACGCCTGATCCTCCGGAGAAACAATACCTGAATGAGCGATCTGACCGCTTAAGCATGGGAAGCATCCTCCTTTACGCAGAGAGAAGTGGCGAAGTGGCTTATCATTTCGAACCCGATGACCCTGCCGGTCACGACCACGACCTCATGTTAACCACCTGGGAGGAAGAGCTGTACCCATTCATGAACTACTTTGAACGCAACTTCCCCTCGGCCATACTTGTCGACAAACAGCCTGGTTTCACCCACTATCATGTAAGCCTTGTTTGTTACCCATTTTTCATGACTATTTTCTGCTATTTAAATTCTGCATTCTTTTTACACAAGGTCCGGCATGGCTTCGCCACGGCAGGTGAACTGTTCGACACGATGGAGCAGGCTAAAGTGCTAGTTACCCATATTGACACGTACTACATAGGACAGGCGAACCTGGATCAGGTCTTTATCAACTTTGCAAGAGGGCAAACACCGCCGGATATGTGAATACAAATTATTATAAAGAAATGTAGCTGTGTATTTTACAAGATCTTTATAGGAGTATCGTAGTAAATAAATTTGTTTAGTAACATTACTTGGGCATTATCTTGGATGACCAACCAAACCAGCGAACTTCTTTACAAAACAATCAATTTGTAACTGTGCAAAATGGACCTTTTGCCTAATATTATTCTAAACACGAGATGTGTATCAAAATGAACCCCAGATTGGCCAGATCAGTCGTTATGAACCAAGGGAAGTTTACCAAACGGCAACAAGTAATGGCCTTCACATCAACAATGATTCCCTTCTTTGACAAGTTTGGGGATAATGTGCAACACCTAGAAGTAACGACAGAGCCGTCACTTACCCCTTTGCTGCATCAGATTTTGTCAAATTTCTGCCCTAATTTGAGGACGATGATATTTCAGCCGATTAATAACATCAAAGCTGGAGACGCTCCGGACGCTGAAAACGTCATCTTACCAGCGCTCCCACCGTTTGCACACCTTGGCGAATTCGACGTTAAGGCTGAGTCTGGAGCCATCCCTGTCAAATTTCAAACTCTTGCCCAGCTGGTCATCAACTCGGCCACAAAGTTGACCAAGTTTGAGACCGTGCCCAGTTTCTACCCGGATTTGAGCACTGTTGAAAATCTGAAAAGTCTAACAATCTACACCAGTCTGAATCAATTTGTACATGAAGTGTCTGCCTCCGATTTCCAACAACTCACCAGAATGTTGGCCCAAGTTTCGAGAACACTTGAAAGTTTCTTTATAAGTGGGATGTACACAACTGTGTGGGAGCCACCAGTTGAAGTATCAGCGTTAAAATTCAACCACGCCAAAGAGCTTGCAGCTGCCAACTTCAAGATGCCTCCGATGCCAAAACTGACCACGTTGGAGAATGACTTCACTGAGATTTTGAGTTTTGGAGATAGACTTCAAGACATCGGGCCGTACACGATGCCCAACTTGGCGACGTTATCGCTGAGCAAGGAACATTTCAAGAGTAAAAGTGTGGATGATATCCTTGAAATAATATCGTTGAATGGCCTTTTCGTACCTTTCTCTAACATTAAAAAGAATTCCCAGCTCTGGAAACGTTAGCGATTACACGACAATCGGAACCTACTCCTATGTTTGTGCTAAATGCTATCAGCGTCTGTGCTCCACTTCAATTGAAACATCTTGAGTTATGGCATTTACGCTTTCCAGAGACACTGAGGGACTTTTGGAAATGTTTCTCCTCCAATTTGGCCATGTTTAAAAGTTAGATACAACATAGTAATCATAATTCAGTAACATTGCAATATTAGTATTAATTAAGACTGATAAGTAAAGGTGACCTATTTATCATTAAATGTTTCAGCCCTCCAAACTTTGGAGGTTGCGTGTGGCGAATACGAAAGTGACAGTACAATGGAAGACAACTTGGATGACGATGACTTGATCATGGTGAAAGATGTGCTTAAAGAAATGGCTGGAATGAAAAGCGTGGAAATAAAAAATATCAATGTGACGTTTAATAAATTTTCTTTATGCATTACTTTAATACTGATATGTATTTATTGTTTAATTTTAGTTTCGTGGGAAGACTGCACAAGAAATCATCACATTCATTGTGAAGAATGAGATTCCAGTTAAATTTACTTGAATTTAATTGGCTCAGAATTTTATTCATGAAAGGGAAAGAGTACTATTTAATTGGCATGCACAAATCTGAATCAATGTAGTATCTTAAATAAACCTCATTCATTATAGAGATATTCATTTTAGCTATTCAATTTATTTCGTCGTCATTTTTGTTCAATTTTCAGTGTAATCGTTGGACCATGCAAATTTTTGGTCAAGTCTTTAACCAACGAAAAAAAACCTGCCTTGATTTTGGCATTACAAGTATTGTAACGTGCTAATTTTACACGCTACAAATACTTTGTAACAAACACTACTGTAAAATTGTGTATATGTATGTATGTATTTCAATACAAAGACTTGATACTTCAGCGCGTCTCATATTATCTGTAATTTTAGAAAAGTTATAGTTTTATATGGTATCGGAATCCGATATATAATATAGGATAAAAATTACTGACGGATAATTTTGTATGTCAAATCGGATATAAGTAATTGTACCTAATTTCTTATTGACAGTAGAATTGTATCCTACGCTACTAATAACATCAAAAGTAAAGCGTTTTCTTTATTGTTAGATTGTCTTTTCTAACAAAAAATTATTATTTGCAAAACTTTTGCAAAGAAGCACTTTCCTCCTGTTTTCTCTACTTTCCAAAAAAATACTGTTTCTGACTTGTAAAATTTAATCCTATATTTCCATCATCATGCCACCTCCACCCCTTTCAGACTCTGAGTGGGAGGGGGAAGAATCCATCGCGGGTGAGGACGGACAGGACAAATCGGGGCAAAACCCAGTCGGGGAATACTACGGGGGTCGAAACGACCGAAAGGAACGCCACGGGCGAGGACGAGCCGAGATGCCGAACGGTGACCTTTATCTTGGCTGCTACTTCCGTGGGAAGCGTCATGGCCTGGGCGTCTATCGCTACAAGAATGGGAACGGGGCACGATACGGTGGCGACTTTAATCTAGGCGTGAAAGCGGGCTGGGGAACAATGTACTTCCCAGATGGGTCGCAGTATACGGGAGGCTGGAGTCAGGATAGGATCCATGGTTGGGGAGTTTACGTGTACCCTAATGGGGATGAGGTGGGCAGAAGTTTTGTCAAATTGTGATTTTTTTAAGAATATTGCTAAATTTATGTCCAATGCCTTCTTCAGTACGAAGGTTGGTGGTACATGGGTCAAAAAAATGGACGCGGAATCTACCGAACAAAACGGACCGGGGAGAAATTTGTAGGAAATTGGGTGCTCGGCCTACGTCAAGGGAAAGGTGCAATAAATGGATATAAAATTCATATGAGTTTCATAAAAATTTGCAACTAAAATTTTTATGCGGTTATTTCAGGAATGATTGTCCGGAAGGAGCATCGCTTCATTGGCAACTGGTACAACGACTGTCCTCGTGGTCCTGGAGTCTACATCTTTACGGATCTTGGTGTCGAGCAGCACGGCCTTTACACGATGGTCAAGCTCAACTCTGAATCCATCCCGAAATACAAAGCGCTTGGATATCAGGTCATGACCATTCGGAAAGAGCCCCCACCCACGAATCCGCTCGAGTTGGAGACCGACACACGAGTTGCGCTCAAGGTAATCCCTAACTTAAGTAAATATCCGATGTACATAATTAATTTTATTGCAATGGGAGATAATATTAATATCTCGGTACGGTCGCAGAACGAAAACGCTAATGGGGAAGACGGGGCTGGAGAAGCGTCTGGCGATTCGGGAGAGATGACACCTGCTCCCACAAAAAAGAAACCGTTTTCCGTCATGGATAAAACTCCGGAGCAAGAGTTTGACGAAAAATTGGGCAATAGAATGTTTGCCTTGATCGAATCGGAATTAGCTACAGAAGTCAGCAATCAAATGCCTGTGACGCCGATGTGGCGTGTGATTCAAATCACTGGATTAATGACACCCTGGTTGGATGAGAACGTGCCTCCCCCACCGATTCCGGAATCACCGAAGCCATTGTTGGAAGGAGTGGATGAGTTTGACGTGAGTGTACTTAAATTAAATATTTGAAATTTCCGGTGGAGCGCAGGGGATAATTTGTATTTTACATTTTAGCTCGAAAAGGCCGCCCAGGAAGAGAAGACTTGCCTCGACAATGAAAATGAGGAGGCCTTATCGCTCCTCGCAGCACGTGAACATGTGCTGGGTGACCCCTACACGGGATCAGGAACATGTCAACTGAACCTGTCCAACATTGCATGGCCTGATGATTGTCCTCCAGCGCTGCGCTGTTCTCAGATGAGTTTCTCGAATTTAGACGATTTGAAGAATATTGTGCAATCCGTGCTTGACAAGCCGTTGGAACCGTTGGACTTTGAGAAGATCGTGGCACAGAATCTGTAAGTAAACAGCCATCTGTGGTTGCTGTGTCATAATTTTAAGACGACAAAAATTATAATACGCGACCCCACCAATTCTCTCCTGACTATTTTTCCCCTTTCAGCCACCTCTTCAAAGGCCAAGGAATGAACATTTCAGACCGTTGGAAGGAGTGCCTCGAGAACGAGACGGACTGTGCCAAAACGGACTTGAAGGGCGCACCCCTTCCCCCCGAAAAGCAGAAAGAGTCGTCCCTTCCGGGAGGCGCTGCGCCGCGCCCACAACAGACATCTGCCGCCGAACGGGAAGAGGCTGACCTGACCACACCTGGAGAGGAACTCTTGTCCACGGCGTACGATCCAGACGAGGAGGAGGAGGAGGAAGAAGAGGAATAAATTAAATCGCCTATCGTTAACTTAATGTCTTATCTTTACCTTAAAAAGTTTGTGCAAAAAATGTGCATCTGCTTAGAAATCTTCGTGCATGTAGTGTAACCTGATGATTTTCGGATTAAATTAGAGGAATGTAATGAAACGGAAAACAGTAATGAATATTTGGGCTGAATATCCGAGAAATTTAATTATTTTAACAACTAAATAACTATGTTTGATGATAAGATGGTTAAAAAATCTTACCCAACCATTTACAATTGTTGGAATAGCGTTCTTTTCCTTCCGCTTCCAACAAAGTAAAAGTAGCATTGTTGTGGAGGGGGCGTCCATGGTTGGATGGGAGTTTTCGTAGGAGGTTTGATAGAGCTGGAGGAATTTAATGGAATAAATATGTCCGAGTTTATCTGGAAGATAAGGTGGAATTTGATATTGAGGTGAAAATGTGTGCATGACCCTTAGCTTGAGTCAATAGCCTCACTCAACAATCAGCGCTCAATCAAAATAGCAGATAAAAAACTGTTGCAAAAAAAAGAGCAGCCAAATCAACCAAATTATTAATTGTCGTGTCGAATTTGGCAATTAGTTTGGTTTAGCTAGAGATTAATTATTTACGCTGAACGGTGTGGTGGTAAGTGAACGTATAAGTAAAATTTGGGGGGAAAGTGGGTAAACTGAATTTTAGATTTGCAAGAGAAATTGTTTTCTCTTTTTAAACCGAGAAAAAATTTCAAAATAATTGGATTAATTTGAGGAGGAAATATTCACAAAAAATTAGGTTCAAATTTTAAATTACATTAAAGTCATGATAGCATTTACTCAGAGTTTTTACAATATTTAGAACTTTAATTTGCAATTGGTGAATTTAGTGAATTCATTTTATGTTCAATTTTAGAGAGAGGTTTAATTATTATATTAAAATTTCTAGATATTCCCATAATATAGTAATTATATGTTTTATTTCATATTTTATAGATTCATCAATTCAAAAGATCCTTCAAACTTTGAACTCATCGACGTCTTTCATCATCATGGTCGTCATCTTAAGTTAACGCCATTTCAAAGGTAGACAGTATTTGTGTCCTATTTAACAAAATAAGTGCTGCCTTCTCAACAATGACTCTCGTGCTACTACCCGTTGGTCTTATCTGAAATCTTCAAAACCCCGGCCTTGACACTACTCCATCAAAATGGACACCACGACCGCCACTCCTCAAGTCCCTCTCTCCACTATCCTCGATGACCTGACCACTTCTTCCACTCACGCCCACATACATACCCAGCCAACAAGTGCCCCCTCCAACAACACCACCATCACAGCTCCTGTCCCCCTCCCCCCGTCCTCAATGTCCTTTGAGGACACAAACAAATCTTGGGATATGCTCCAATTTCACCGGAAGGCGCGCGACCATGAAAAGTACTGTGATGCTGTGCTTCATGTCCATGGGCGTCAATTTCTCTGTCATCGCCTCATCCTGGCCGCAAACTCGCCCTATTTCGATTCAATTTTCCAATCGAGAATAGCTACCGGTGCAAAATCCAAGAATTCACAGTACTACTCGAAAACCAATGCCAACCTGACACGCTCCGTGCTCATGGAGTCGCTAATAATCGGTTGCACGGAACCTGATGTGTTCGCCACGTTTATAAATTTTATGTACACTGGGGCAGTCTCGATCGACAAGGGAAATGTCGCCGAACTGCTTCGTCTCTCGAATAATTTCATGGTAGGGAAACTCAAAGAGTATTGTGCCTCGTATTTGGAGAGATTCATCGACGCTGAGAATTGCGTCCAGGTGAAGGAGGTCGGAGAAAAATATGGGATCCAAGCACTGGTCAAAGTGGCGACACAATTTGTACAAAATAATTTAGGGGAGGTGATCAATCACGAAATTATGATGGAGCTGTTACCAAAACAAGTTGAGGGGTTTGTGATGGATAAGGTACAAATCATTTAGTAAATATTTTGATAAAAATAATCAACGACACTAAATTGTAATCTCCACTTTTTGTAAATCAGGGTTTTCAAATTCAGCACGAAGTCGCCGTAAAGTTCATGTCGCGCTGGGTCTGTCACGATATTCCTGGCCGGGAGCGAGATTACAAACAAATGTTGACCAATATCGACTGGGGGACGATGGACCATGAAACTATTGTGACCTATATTGACCAAGAACCCCTCTACGGATCCTCGGAACGTTGTTTCTATTACATTTTGCAATCTCTGGGAGACAAAAATATTCGTGTGGAGAAGTACGAGGAAATCTTTCACGCCTTACAACAACGGTTTGGTCAGGTGGGTCAGAATAAATTAAGTTGGACCTGAATTCTGGCATAATTTAATTGTCTGTTTGTGTTAATACTAGGAGGCTGATCAACCACTCGGTTACGGCGACAATCTACTCCAAATGGCTTTCAACTCAGCGATGGAAGGACTCCAAGTTCCTACCGAATCAGCCACGTCATGGGCAGAAGATAAAGAAAAGAAATCAAATAATGAGAATATTGGCGATGCCGCTACTACAAAACCAAAGAGTATGTTGCCCTTGTCATCGTCGTCGTTCATCGTGTTGATGTCAGAAATTATTATATTTTTAACAATTACAGAACTCACTCTTGAACAGAGACGTCGACGAATTTTGCGCCGTGTGCACCGAAATCGTGTCACAAAACGGTGGGTTGTGATCCGACTAGATAGGCCGAAACCAAAACAGCTCGCGTACAATGAGATGATGGCAGATTCGTCGGGCGACGAGGAGTGTGACCCCGCCCAGACGCTGGCAGGGTATCAGTGCCACATGTGTCCCTACATGGCCAAGAAGATATCTAGACTGGAGAGGCATTTGGCTTGTATGCATGCGCACGATGTGACCTATCGCTGCTCAGAGTGTGGATACAGGTATAAACTTATTATCAATTTTCAATGATAGGTTTATACCAAGTTTTCTTAATGCATTGATGAGTTTGAAACTTGAAGGTTAAGTAAACAAATTCGTTATGTCCTAATTTAAATTGTAGGTGCAAATGGAATAGGGAATATTTTCTACATATGAAGTCCCACTTTGATGGTCCACCCTACAAATGCTCCCTCTGCGACTTCACAGCGAACAAGATTGGTTCTCTGATAAGCCACAGAATCAGCCACCTTGACCTTAAACCCTTCCATTGCACCGAGTGCGAGTTCAAGACGAGGTCAAAGGCTAATTTAGCCGTCCATTTGAAAACACACAATAATGAAAAACCGTACCGATGTGAGTTATCAAAAAGTAGATTATCTGTAAACAATAATTTTGATAACATTGGTGATGATGTGATTTCCAGGTGGAATTTGTGGCCGTAACTTCGCCTCTAAAAATTCGCTTGATCAGCATGCCGTAGGACATAACACTGATAAAACATACTCTTGCACACAGTGCCCTTTTTCAACAAAATATTTAAACCATTTTACAAATCATAAGAAGACGCATCATGTTCAGACGGGGAAAAAGGGGAAAGGTAAATTCAGCGTTTGCAATAATACAAAGTTATTATTACACTTGACTAATTTGTCTTTTTTCTTGTACAGAATTGTACAGATGTTCCGATTCCACGTGTAAGTACACAACCTCAAAGAAATCTCAGCTAGAGTCGCACATGCGTTCTCACGCCGGTGTCCGTCCACACGTCTGCTCAATTTGCGGGCGTCGTTTTCTGGAGAAATCCCACCTAGTTCGCCACGAGCGGATCCACTTTAATGAGCGGCCTTTTAAATGTGAAGAGTGCGACTATGCCTCAACAAGGAGGGATAAGTTAAAGGAACACAAGACACGACATCATGGGGTAAATGCAAGCGCAAAGTCACCCTACAAACCGAGGCCTCACAAGGGGAAAAGTGGTGGTGGAGGTGCGGCGAATGGGTCACAATCGTCAGGAGATAATTCTAATCCGGGCAGTACAGGGGGAGGAACAGGAGTTGTCTATGCAAAAAAATCGGGGGCGAGTAGTAGTGCTCATCAACAGGTAAGGATTTTTTTGTAATATCAATGACATGTGGAAATGAAGAAAGAAATTTTAGTTTGTTGTCAATTAACTGCACAGCTTTAAGAGCTTCTTGCGCCTTCTTCAAGTCTAATATATTACACCTATTTTTTTGGAAGGTGCAACAGCAATCAACTTCAGAGCAGAACTCGTCCAGTGTTGTCACGTCTGGGAATGAGTTAGAATTCATAATCCCGCATGGACCTCACTCCACGACTCCGGGTGGGGATGAGAATGGGGAGGCTTATGTACAATTAACAGGACAAAGTGGTGCAGGCTCATCCGGTGGGTTAGATCTGCAACATATGTCTAACACTGTCCAGTTGCGGCCGTATCAACAACAGGTGGTGAGTGTGAAGTTATTTGACATGTGATAAGAACAAACTTTGATATGGACAATTATTACTATTGTCCAAACTTCCTTTATTATGAAAAAATTCGAAATACAATATTTAATGAAAAATATGTATTTCAAGCTTAGCTTATTACATTTCAAACGTTTCCAAAATTCTTAAAAACCAATTTCATATTGAAAATCTTTGAAATCCATCTTTCCCGAAAAATGTGCAAACAAAATCTTCATATTCCTATATAAGCTAAACAAATATCCTTAATTTCTTCCCTTTTGTTTCCTCTCTGATTCAGGTGGTGTCTCTCCCCACCTCATCATCTTCATCTTACTCTACTTCCACATCCACACCCCACCTCATTTCCGGTCCTGCCCACACTTCAACCTCGTCCCCCGTCATATCCATCCCTTCAACTTCCTCCTCAACCACTGCAACGCTCCTTAACTCTGCATCTCTCATGGCTGCCATCCAACAGCAACAACAAAATCAAAACCAATTATTTAAAACTTCTCCATCCTCTTCAAAAATTGTGGCGAAGCCGGGTCAGAGAATAATTTTGGTGCAACAACAACAGGGTTCGAATAAAGGAGGAGGTACTGCTGGACAAGACAATAATTCAGCCAATATTGCCCAAACCTTGGCCTCGTTTCCTCACGGGGGTGCCATCTCGTCGCACGATCTGCAAAGGACATTAGGCATCAAGTTAGAGGATCTGCAGGCCGGTGGGCTAATCGGGATCGGGACAGGTGTTGGCGGAGCCATGACGGCGAGAGCGATCAAGTTGGAGGAGCTGACTGGCATGTCGACTCAGGTATGAATAATCTAAAATTATTAATAAAACTCCTATAAAATAACCTCGCCAATTTTGTGTATCACTATTACTTGCAGACTTTGACCACTTCCTCGGCCCGAGGAATTCCCGGCACGACGACAACCATGCTTTTAGATGCCGCCCAGTTACAACAATTGACACAACAATCGTCCTCCTCATCCCATTTCGAGCGTGGCATTCCAATCACCATTTCGTCTCTGCAACTCCCAAGTTCAGGGGGTCAACCCTCAATTTCCGTCGTCTCTTCTCAGCAGCAGCAACAACAACAACAAATCATTCCTCAACAAAATAATTCGTCCTCCTCGACACCCACCAGTTCTGGTGGGACTAGTGGTGGTCAAAATCAAGCTACTACCACTAACCAGCAAAATAATCCAAACAATGATTTTTCCGGACTTAACAATCTATTTTGTTAGTTAATTAAAGGAGAGAAATTTATTAATTAACGTACTTAATTAACTAATGCGACAGTTAATCATCTCATGACATTTGTTTTTGTTTGCAAAAATGTGCACATTTTACAGTTTGGATCTTCAATTATGTAAGAAGATCTTTGATTTTGATAGCTTTAATTTGAATACATAGAGTGGTTTCGTTTAGTTTGTGTAGTGACATAAAAGTAAAATTAATCTCATGTTTTTTTATTATAATTATTAGTTTTTTGATACGATTTGAATTATTTTAACTGGTGAGAAATATTAATAAGTAAGTTGGAGTTTTGTGGAAAAATTCGGTCCATTAATATAGATATTACGTTTTTGACATGAATTTACATATATGAATTTACTTTATAATACCGACAAAAATTGTGGCCTGACTTAATTTTGTAATGTTCCAAATGTCCAATTAAATGTGTAATTATTAAATAGTTATATAGTTAATTGTTCTTACATATTTAACTTGTGCAAAACTGCGACACAAATCATCCCTATTTTCACACTGAAATTAGTAAATAAAATGTATAGAGTATGTAAGCAAAAACCAAAATTGTAATCTGAGCAGTCTGGGTTATCACAATATTATGGCTAATCATTCTGTGCTGATTAGATACGGCTGGAGTATCTTCACCCCTCATAACAGTCACATTTCTCATTTCGCGTAATACTTTAAAATTTGTAATTTAAAAAGTTTACGTACAAGTACATAAAATGAATAGGAAATTGAGCACAAAAAGTACTACAACGACAAGTTCTGGGGGAGACATGACGCCAAATTTGTCAAATTCGACACGAAATAAAATCCAAGTTTTGACCAAGTTTCGTAAAGAGATTTGTGCGAAAGTGCGTTTCTCCGATATTTCGCATCATCTCTTAACCTCAGGACATTTTGGGAAGGACGACGCATACGAGATTTGTCGACTTCCGGTTCAAGATCAGATGGGGGAGTGTTGTAACCGGTTGGTAACAGTGTTGGAAAGTCAGCAAATAAGCAGGTTGGTCAATTCACGGCAAGATCATAAGGGATAATTTTTGCATTTCGTTTTCAATTTGTATTTTTTATTCAAGGGAGCGAATAGATCTCTGGACGATTATATTGAGAGCACTAAATGTGCAGCATTCCGGACTTACGTGCAAATTGGACGGTGATTTGCACAAATTATGTAAGACTTTTAATTTCAACATTTCCGGAAATAGTATAAGCAATTTAAAAGCGATATGAACAAGAAAATGAAAGTTTTAAAAAATACGCGACGCCACCTTCTACACAATTTTCTGTTTTTAAGCCAAACGGGAGAAACCTCCCCGTCTACGAAAAGAGGACATTGGACCCCCACAAGACTTCAAGCACGTGAAACACATTGGTCACACAGTATCGTCTTCGTCGTCAGCATCTCGATCGATGTTAAGTCACCCGTTCCGCCGTTTCTTCTCCCTTCGATCTACCAATCCTCCTCCTCCCACATCTGGAAATATTAATTCTGAAGAGATTAGCAATAATTCGTCAAAATTAGAGGACACGGAACTAGTCAAAGCGTTCTTTCAACGCGCCGGCGTTACAGATTTCCATTTGAGTAAACCAAACTCGAGGAAACTTATCTTAGAGTGAGTACAATCTCGATTTTAGGCCTAGATTTTAACACATCCGTAATAATTGTGTACATATTTATACATTTTACCGTAAATTTCAGCTTTATCCAACGAAACGGTGGAATTGACGCTATCCGAAAGGAAATCGTTCCTCAGACTGATTCCGAAGATTTGAAAATTGAGTCTTCTCCAACTTTAAGAGAAAAATGTGATAACACTGATAATTGTAAAGATTATAACGTTAAAAAAATTGATAATGATTGTGATACAAATTTAGTGGAGAAAGTTGATAAATTGATAACTGCATCGTGACTACAATTTAACTAACGGTGGCATTTATTCCATGACTTGAATACAGGAAACAAGAAATTTTGGAAAAACAGCTTTATACTTCATTATGGGTTTGTGAATTTTGCAAATTGACTTGTAAAATCATGATGAATGTAGTCTCACTTTCCCATCTTGTTTTCCTCGTCTCATTTTGTACTCTATTTTTAACAGAATTCGGATCCTACATGATGAATAAATTATTGCGTTTAGTTTTCATCCATCTGTTGATTCCGTTTTTAGGCCATGTTACTTATGTGAATTACGTCAATTCTGCCGTTGTGAATCATACATTGGTTTGTATTGTATGATTTCGGGGCGTAAATATTTTAATACAGAACTAACTGCGCGTTAAAGTTAAAACAAAAGCAATTTACTTATCATCTCAATCCTCCATTCAATTCACAATTCCAAGTATTTGTAAATATTATTGATATCGTTATCAGTGTACGTATTTAAATATGATGGGCACGGGATTTGTTGGATAAGCATCCTGGTCACAAGCCAGGACATTCTTCCGATTAAGTGGCTTCCATCACATGCCACAAAAAATTGATGCATTTCCCATTTAAATGCCTTTTTAATCCTGCATTGGAATATACAAATGTAAGTCTCTTGTTTTAAAAATCTTCATTTAAGCTAAATATTCAAGATATTTATATGAATTTCATAATTAAAAGTTAATTTGTAATTAACAAATAGCTCAGAGCCAGGCTCTCATATTGTTATAAATAATTTGTGCCCGATTTTCTTACAGAAGCTGATAAAATAAGAATCGCAAAACGCCGACATTACAAAATGGGAACGATAAGATTGCCACTCGTACTTATTTTCGTCGCGGTTGTATCCTCACAATTTAACCTAGGTCGATGTAAGTAGCGAATTGGTCGAATTTATTTATATCCTCTTAATTATTCATCTTAATCAGGTCAAGACAATGAAGACATCACAGAAACACGCCCATTGATGATGACCCTGGACGATCATGAAGTTTCAATCCACATATCTCAAAACTACTCATTTTCCGTCCTTTCGACGCCATCGTATCACGACATCTTCGACAATGACAGCACCCTCATTTTCCAGTACTCGGTCCCTGCCGACAAACAGATTTACATAGAACCCCTGCAAAATATAAGTCTCGGAGAGAACTTCACCTCTGCCCTTGTCACGTTGATCCCACTCCATGCTGGGAGACTAGTCATCTCGTCAAAAATTGAACCCCCCGTGCAAAATTATACGTGAGTAGAAGATAAATTACATAGATTTTATTAATTGGGGTCCTTGCTAAATTGATGATTCAATGTTTTTCTAGTTCGGATGACATCTTTGTTCGTGTCTCGATCTACAAGTTTTCGATATTGACGATTATCTGCGACGTGGTGGGGTGGATTTACTTTGTGGCCTGGTCAATTTCATTTTATCCCCAGATTATCCAAAATTATCAGAGAAAGAGGTGAATATTTCATTGAAAGGAACAAATTTTTAGCAAAAATTGTAATATTTTACGGGAAATGGTGCAACAATCTTATAATTTTTATGAATTCCGATCTTAATTATTTAATTTGCTTAAATTTGTTCAATAATTTATGATTTAAAAAAGTGCTTAGTGTAACTCATTCTAAAATTCTGCATCTTATAGCGTACGAGGACTATCTTTCGAATTTGTATCGCTCAACATAACTGGCTTCACGGTATACTCCATCTACAACGTGGCCCTCTACTGGATACCGTACATTCAGTCACAGTACTACGATGCGGACCCCACCGGTGAAATCCCCGTTCAGCTGAACGATGTTGTTTTCTCCCTTCACGCCGTTTTCGCCAGCGGACTGACAGGAATTCAGTGCATCTTGTACGACGTGAGTGTCAGAAAAGTATTCAAAATCCCTTCTAGTCCTAATTTGTAATTGTTATCTTGTCCAGAGGGGATCACAATCGGTTTCCTACTCGGGGAGGACCCTACTTGTCGGAATAGCTTCATTTCTGGGCATCATGTTCACCGTAACAGTGTCAAATGCGATTACTTGGTTGACTTTTTTGAACTTTTGCTCCTATGTAAAACTTGGGATCACACTGGTCAAATATGTCCCGCAGGTGACCTAAAATTAAATTATTTTTGCCTATTGACGTTCAACTTTAAGCTAAATTTTGTAAATTATCGCTTTAACCCTTCTAATGCAGGCATGGTTGAATTATACAAGAAAAAGTACATCGGGATGGTCAATTGGAAACGTTTTGCTGGATTTTACCGGAGGGATGTTTAGCATTTTGCAAATGATTTTGATCGCATATAATCATGGTAAGTTGTAATTTGTTAAAAATTTTACAAATCATATGATAAAAATGTGAAAAAGTTCGCAAAATTGAACTTTACTGAACTACAAAATTGCTTAAATTTTTCGAAACATTTTCTGATGTAAATCCTGTGTATCAAACTTTCACAGATGACTGGTACTCGATTTTCGGCGACCTCACGAAATTTGGCCTTGGTTTATTTTCCATCACTTTTGATGTCTTCTTTATCGTCCAACATTACGTATTATACAGGTAATTAATTACATGATACCAAATGTGGCTTTAAACTTTTCAATATGATATGTTGCCATTTATCCTTTTAGAAACCATATCGCCTACGAGCCCATTGAGTCGTCACCGGATCCAATACTAAATCCTCACGAGGACATGACCACGTCAAATCACATTACCTCGAGTGAAGATGATAACCAGCAGACGACTTCGACGATGTATCATGTGCCTAATTCGGCGTCCATTGACTCGCTGCTAGTGGAACCACCACCAGCGCCGGCTAATAGTTACCAAGATATTGAATGAATATGAGATGTTATTTATTATGAACAAGTACTTAACATATGTAACTAGCGTATAAGCCCGTCTTCCGCCGGGCGATAAGTTCCACACCTTGAATACCAGTCCGCACCGGAAGTAATTAAATTACGATTAACTTTCTCCACTTTCACTTCCGTTTCGGAAAATTACTTTCACTTCCGTTGCAGACAAACATTTCCAGCTTATAATATAGATGGGGTCGTCGCAGATAGTCGCTGATCTGTTTTTCCGGATTTATATTATTTCTGTATTTGTGATGTTCTTTTCTGACCAAAAATTTCTGATAAGCCCTTGCTGTAATTATTTGCAGCATGTTCGTTTGTTTGGCAAAGTACTTTTTCATAATTATTATTTAAATCTCCGCATAGTTCGTTTGAGCGATAGTTTCGATAATTTCTGTATTTATTTTGTAAGGTACATATCACAAATACTTATATCGCAAAATAATTATAATTAACTAACTAATTAATTAGTTAGGCTTACGTGATTAATTGAAGACAGATACGTAATGACTGAATATTAACATGATACAATACAATTTTTCTAGTTCTTTTGGTAAGTATTTAAATTACTTGGTAAATGTTAATGAGCTAAATAAAATAACTGAAAAATTATAATTAATGCGTGATAAATATATGCATGTAATTAAAATACATTGTCCTGGACTTATTATTAAACAAAATTTGAGATTTGTGCTACAATTAGTATTAATTCTTTCAATTTTTTTCTCGCATAAAAAACTAAGTCTTATAATTCACTCGCAGACTACAGTCATATTTACAAAATTGGTTATATAAATTCTACAAAATGTTTTACGTGCTATTTCTTAGTATTTTTTATAATGCGGGAATTATGCGATTCGTGGTTGCACATTACATACTTATTTGATATAAAATTCATAATACAGTTTCCCTCATATTAAGTTTTCTCTCAGGTAATCTACATTCATTGCATAGTTTGGACGGAGAATAATTCGGATCCATATCGTATATACTTTGCAGGATTTGGACTCAGGTCAATTTTTTGCACAATTTAGGACGGATTAGTTCCCCATAGTTTGGCGTTTGCCAAATATTTTTTGTATTCTACTTTTAACGTGTCGTCAATGTATGACTTTTTCATTGCTTCCCCCTTTGCCTTCTTTGCCCTTGTTGTTGTGGCACGCATTGTTAAACCCGTTGTTGTTATGTTTCACTTCCAGTAATTGAGGATAATGTTCGACAATATTGAGGAGAATGTTGTCAATGTAAGCTCGCAGGGCAAGATTTGCCTCCTTCTGATCTTTTAGGGCCGTTCTCATCTGAAAAGATAGAACAAAAAATGTCAATTTCTAAAGCACAACCAAGAATCTATTTCAACGTCGAATTTATTTTTTTCAAAATCTATAAATGGTTTAGTCTGTAATATTTTGTCAACGCTTTGGTTGAAAATTGAAAATAAAATAAAAACGAAGTAGACGAATGTTTTAACAACCTTTGTCAACGATTCCTTTTCTGACTGAATTTTGGGCGATAATATTCCAAAATATTCATCTGGCTGTAAAATAATTTCAGAAACGTATTTCATATTTTGTTACCAAAACCGAAACCTTTGTTAGGCCAAAAATTTTGCATAGAAAGGTTAGAAAATTATGAAAAGAAAATGCAGTGAGGGTTAAATTATTAAAATGGGGAAAAAAGTAAATAGGTCATCAGAAAAGTTCTTGTTTAGACAAAAAGTGGTTTAAAATGGCAAAAAAATCCCAATTTTAAAGTTGAAATTCAGTCCCACCTCTTCATTCGACATGGCTTCAAACTCGGCAGCTAAACTGTTTCCTCCCGAAGAAGAGACGACACAATTCATATTATTTAACAAATTTCTCCCATCTTCCAATCTCTGATTTAACATTTGAGCATTCAATTCTGCATTATTTTCTTCCAATTCTGAAAAAAAATCAAAATCATGACAAATCCGCTTTTCCAAATCCCATATAAATATGTACGAATGTCAAACTGATAAGGCACGCACGATTATTTAGAGCTTTAAGTCTTTTAATCTCATCCTCCGCTTCGTGAAGACGCGATCTTAGTTCGACCGGGTCGGAGGAATCGTTTCTTCTCAACGAGTGGGAGTGGTTAGACGAGGAAGAGCTGCCCCCATTCATATGAAAATTCGATAAGGATTCGAGTTGGGCTTTAAGCTCGATTAAGGCCTGGAAAAAATCGAAATGTTCCAAATTATACGTAAAAATGATGTATTGACTTGAAATCACCTGCTGTGACCCCACACTCTCTTGGACCATGTTCTCTCTGTCGACCCTATTCTGTGCGACGAGGCTTCTATTTTCCTCCCTAAGACAGCCAACCTCCCTCTCCATCCCGGACAATTTGTCGTTCAAGTAGTTGTTCTCGTTCCTTTCTCGTTCTAACGAACCTTCTAATCGTTTCGTCTCTATTTTTGAAGAGGAAATTTCCTTCTCCACCATTTGCAACTTAATTTCGAGGTTTTCTAATTGCAGCGTCTTTTCCATCTCTAGTCGAGCCGTGGCTTCTTTGTGGCGTCGGGCTTCTTCTTTGAGCTTCTCTTCAGATCGCATTTCCACATCGCGGAGGGTTTCCTCGAGCATAAAGAGCTTGGTTTTTAGCTCGGCATTCTCCTGCTTGGAACGGGTGTAACGATCGTCAACGTCATGCTGGTTTTCGGCTAGGACGGTGAACTTTTCTTCGAGATGGTGAACCTAGAGATATGAAAATACATTAAAATTATGCAGGATATTTTGAAATTGGTGTTATATTTTCAATTTGGCTCCACCGCAAAAAATGATAATACAACAATGTATATCTTGGCATATTTAAATGTGAATGCTTAGAAAATGATGTCATTGTTGATATAATTTTTTTAAATTATTTCCTACCCACCTTTTTCGTTAAGTCGATAACTTCTCCTTCCAAGGAGCTATCGGAATACATTTCTTCCCCGTCGCCGGCCGAACTTCGACCGGAGGAGTGGTAGCTGGAGGAACGGTAGAGCTGATTCGCGAGCGCATTTGTGGAAGGGACGCCACTCGTGCCCCCGACCATGGCACGTTTAACACCGCTGCTGCAATTTTGGGGAAATAATTTTGTAAATTAATTACATAGATCAAGATAAACTGCTAAATTTGTTGCCAATATTTTCAGTACAAAGTAAAATCTATATTACGGCCGAAATTCATTTTATAATTTTATGTAACCACTTCTTTTTCAATCTTGCGCTTCAAAAATACAACGACGAAGCTATTTAGGTAAGTGAGTATCTAATTGGTGTATTTTAATTGTCCAACTACCCCTAATTATGTGCTTATTATTAACGTAAATATTTCCCCTCTTTGTCTATCTCGCAATCTAATAATTAGTGAATATGAATTGTTTTCGCCTTTAATTTTATCTCGTCTCGTTAAATACTTACTAGTGGTACATGGTCGTCTTTAACTTCACATTACTATTATAATTAGTATTCCAATTTTATAATTTACAAAAAATGTCTACAAAATCCCCACATACACACGATAAACTTTCCAGCCAAGACAAGTGTAGCAATTAAACTGTTATATTCATACTGACGATGCATGCATGCATTCATTATGTACGCATGTAAATTACGTAAATGAGTCAGCCAATAGCCTTGTGGTTTTGCTAAATGTCAAATGTTTTGTTTTAACTGCTACTGACTGACTGTTTCTCTCGCAAATTAAGAAACAACACAAGTTTGCAGTCGTATTAAAGCCGAGTGAGATAAATTAAACTGAAATGTCACGATTCATGACACCACATAACAGTACAAAATCTACTCCATCGCCTTCCATATCCATCAACTTAAACAACTTCCATATTATCCAGAGACCTTAACTAACTCTTTTTTTTCTCCCCAGAAAAAGAAAACGAAACCTATTTATTCAAGGGGATGGAAAACGTGTCATTTGGATCGACATTTTACTACATAAACTGCAAACCAAGCGAGTAGCATATTTTCTTCCTGGCAAAGGCTGCTGACACGAGAAGAAAATTCTTGTAAAAACATTCTTCCGCTTGAAGTCTCTAAGTTAAGTAAGTCGTAAATACATAAAAGTGCGACAGGAATTTAAATTCAGTTTCAACCAGGAATGTTATTACCTAAAATATGCGATGGTAATGTGTCACTTAACGTCACTTTGTCACACGTCACTCTTATAAATTGACGACTTAAAAACCTGACTCATTTTGTAAACATTTCTCTCAATTTGTAAGACGCTGCGAGAATAACAAATATGTTCTAAATAATTTGCTGACTCAGGGGTCATTTCGTGTTAAAAAAGAGGTGTCATTTTTCTCACCTATTTCTAAATGAGCCCCACCTCCGATGCGTTGGGGTGCTCGTCATCGTAATCCCGTCCCCAGAAACGACCCCTCCCCCACCACCACCACTTGTAGGCGTTTTCCTCAGACTAGTCCTCTGCCATCCGTTCCTCGTCAAGGATGAAGTCCGTCTCGACGAGGGATCCTGACACTCACTGGAAGACGCAAGATCTCTGCAAATAATTAATTCAGAGAGATAATTATGCATCAAGACAACAATCCTTATCTTAAAAGTCTCACTTTTCTCGTAATCGAACAATTTCAAAGGAAAGTGTCACACACACACAATTTCTTTATTTTCCTCCTCCCATTAATTCACATCACACCCTCCGCGGTGCGTCAAATAACACTTGTCATTTGCACGACAGAAATAAATAAGTAAAATAAGAAAAGGAAAGAGCGAATGATGATTCTGCAAATTCTTTTAACTAGTCACAAAAGTAATTGTAATCAATCAATAGTTTGATGCACAACGGCGACGAGAGAACACGGACTTCTAAAGCTACATTACAACAACAACAAAACAAACGCAAATTCTTCAAAATTCTTCAAACAAAATGAAATCTATACGACGTCGAGTAGGCTTTTGCTAGCATTACTTATGTTTTGTTTTCTCTAAGAAAAAGTGATGATGAGATGAGACGACATAATTTTGAAGAATTTCACAACCAACGCACCAACACCACTGCTGACTTCTTCGAGTAAGTAAATAAGTAGCCGACGAAAAGTTGGTAGAAAAAACTTTTTAAATTTTAATGGGATATAAGTAATGCTGCTGCTGCCGACCGAGGAGACCACGACGATGGGTATTTTATTTTGCAGCAACTAAAAGTACTACATACTTACCACTTACCACGAAACCAAGTGCAATTTCAAAATAAAATAAGCGTTCGTTATTACACATTTCTTCTCTCAAGTCTTAAATATTTATGGTTACGACGATGTCTCTCTAACCTAACTAACCATGAGAATTATATATTTGCACATTGTGATGAATATTTTGACTACTGTGTGCAGATATTCTTTTACTACTATGTATGTATCGTCGTGATGGTGGGTATACTATAATTTTAGTTATGAGTTAACTAACTATTGTTATTAGATGTGTATGCATGTCAGTCAGCACTCGAGAAGAATGACACCATTAAGAAATGTTATAATTGTTAAAATTATTTCAAAAGTAGTGTTCGATTTTGAATTATGGTCGTAAAATTATAAAAGAAATGGAAAGAAAAGAATATTTTTTTTATTGGACGATTTTCTAGTTCAGTTTTAATATGCTTGAGTTAATGAAGCGTTGTGGATTGAATGGAAAGTGAGGTTTAAAAGTGGAATGCAATTTTAAACTGGTGGCGATGGCACGATATAAATGATTCGCCGGGCAAGCGAATTTAGTTCGTTATGCATTTCTTGTATTTTAATGCAATATGCAAATTATGGCGTGAGAAGATTTTTGAATTTTCAAATTTTACGTGTTTTGCCATTTAACTTAAATTACAAAACTCTCAATTTTAAGCCAAGTTGTTTTTAAAATGTGCGAGTTTGATTTCTTTTACAAACGTGTAAACGCGTTTGCTTTGATTTTGGCAAAAACAGAGGGATTTCATTTTTTCATGCAATGCAAATATGCATGTTTACACAAGCATGGATTTTTTAATAGAAAATCCCATGTCATTTGTAATTACGACAAAAATCGAACCCACCCAAAAAATTTATGATCAATTTCCAACAATTATTTTATATCCAAATTACTCTAATTTTTTACCTGCTCGGCGATTCTGCCCCTTGATGCTGTTTGTGCTCCTCCGACTCTAGAAAACTGCACCTCTCCAAACTTTCCCCCTCTCCGATAAAAAGTTCAAAGTTATCTTCCGAGTTTGTACTAATGGACAAGTTATCTGGTCCTCTTCCTCCCCCCGAAATTAGAGAGACTTCCTTCTCGGACGGAATCATAATATTGTTTGAACCATTTCCACTTCGTCCCGATCCAGAACTGGATCCACTTCCATTTCTTGATTCAGACGAAGATTCCGTGGAAGGGAGACGTAGGACGAGGCTGGGAATGGAATTAGAAGAAGAACTTCCTCCTCCGGAAGTGGTAGGAGAAGACCGACGAGGAGGAGCAGATGGTGTTTCAAAAAGCACTGGTGTGACTTCCGCCTTCTTCGTATTAGTTTCTAGACCATCTGCGGGTAAGAAAAAAGGGTAAGATTTCGTACTCAAATATGTACACGATCTGGAAAAAAAGTGGAGCACGGATTTCTCTTAAACGTTGTGCAAGTAAAGTGAGATGTACAAATCTGGACCATTTTTTTATCTCAATCTCCCCACTCAACTCATCTCAAAATCCAGCTGGAAACTTCTTATTAAAATTTTCAACTTGTATTTCTCAAGTGAGATGAGGGATGCATTTTTGTTGATAAGAGAGGAAATTGTACCGTTATTTCCATTATCGAGCATAAACTCGGTGATGAGTCCTTTCCTAATTTTCCTATTGGGCCGGGTGAAAGTGTCTCCGTTGAAGGCGATGGGTGGTGGTGGAGTGGATATCGATATCGACTCATCCAATTTTGGGGAGGATGATAAGCACTCCTTGCTAATACTGATGGGTGTGATGGTAGAAGACATGGTTGTAATTTGTTTACTATTGCACTTCAGACTATGGATGGGTGCGGTTTAGTTAAAATTGAGTATTTTTAGTTAATTTGTTTATCATTGTTTATTTATTTAGTTGTATAAAATCTCCGTGTCCTTCTGTTTTACACGTGCGTATCGAATTCAGTTATGACCTTCGAGTCGGGTTGGTCTAGTTTTACTAACAATATGAAATTGTCGCATCAAGGTTGTTTTAAATCTCAAATGAGGCTTTCCAATTCACAATTACACGTTATTGACAGTGCGCTTCAATATTTAATCAGCCATTATATCCAGTATAATCCGTTATGAAATCAATATTAATGTATGTATGGACGGATATCGGTATGTCGGTGAAAGATAATCACATTAAATTTTCATCACTGTAAGGCAGGAAGGTAATTGCTGAAGGTAAATATACCGATACATACACATTTAGCAATTAATATTGCAACATTTATGTAAGAGGGTAGACTGGTTAAATATTCTGCAATTAATTTGAGTGAGTTCCATAGAATGTTAATGAATGAAGTTATTTTTCATGTAGATTTTCGTCTTCAGTACGAGCACAATTAATCAATTTTCTATTTAGTATTCTTATAATCGGAATTATTAATCAGTTCAGAAAAGGTGTCACAAAATGGGACGCTACGTTACGTATTAGTGGCACGGGGATATCACCAACTAGCACATTCAGTCTAACTGACTTTCACTATTGGGCAGTTATCAATCACCTCCTCTGCACATTATTAGAGAAAAATACAAATTTGTATGAAGCGTTACGCAAAATTTCACTAGATAAAAAAATGTGATCTGGATTTTGTCAAGGAACAAACACCACTTTATTATTCTTAAATTACGTCCATATCCGTCCCACAAAGTTGGTTAAACAAATAGTGCTCCAATTTCCAATAATATATGATCCATGTAGAATCCACCCACCCAAAAGTAACCACCTCCACACTCCAAACTTTCGTAACTTTAACACTCCAAACTCATTTTTACACCAATTTTTACCAAAATCTTTACAAAACTTATATTTCCTTACTTTATTTAGAGACCCGTTTAATTTCTAGCTATTTAAATCGCTTAAAGTTTATCCTCCCCCAGTAAAATAACCAAATACTTATTAATAAATCCCATCACCACCACATCACACCACACAGGAAGGAAAAGTATGTGAGTTTTAAACTCTGAATTGCATTGGAATTGCATTTACACAAACACACACCTTTCCTTTAACCAATGCATAATATGCGGTGCAGATAGGACTACATGTAACAATACCTTTAAGACATTACATATACCAGAATGCACATTGGTCTCTAACTGATGACGAATATATGTAGGTAATAAGAAAAAGGTAGAAGGATTGCAAGGTGGATGGATTAACACAAGGTGGATTGGATTTTGGATTAACCTGGCCCCATACATATACAAGTTGTTGCCTTAAAGCTATCCCATGGGGACCATCTCTAGTAGAGAGAAGCACAACACAAAATTTAGAACCACAATTGCATATCATCCAATCCACCACCAGGCCAGGTAGCTTATTCGTTTTTTAACATGGCACAATTTTTTTACCGACCAACTTTACTGAGGATATGAAATATGTGGGAAGGCTGAACAAGTCACAATTTCATTTTAAATGCTAACTCTCTAATAATGGAAGTATGTATGGCAAAAAGTTAGTTATTTTGTACTTTATTTATAAGAAATCCTTAAGGTAAGTAGCTTGGTAAAGTCGCCACCAATTGTTTGTTGTTGTTTTGTTGTTACCGTAATATGAATGCATGCATGCAGTTTTTTTACGGTGGAAGAATATCATAATTTTATCAAGGGAAGGTATGTGATTTTGAGAAGGCTTATGATTTTAAAGTGCTCTACTTTAAAGCAAATTATTTTTTGTGAGTAATGTAACCACCAAGGAGAATTCTAATTCTGTTATTATTACGCATTTTTTTGTGTTCGTGTAGCAGTTATTAGAATGAGAATTGATTTCACAAAGTATAGTGAAGGACGATGGATTTTTACTACTTTACTTACTCGGTGAAGGATAAGAATTTCTTGTAGGTATCATGTTTGAAATGGTTTTCTGTGTCAAAATCTGCTTATTGTCCGATATTTTAATCTTACTTACTTAACTTTGGGAAGGATTAAATTTAGGTGTACCGCATTTAAGTAAATTTAAACATGGTTATTTATTGTAGCACGGCGTGGTTACTTATTGTATGAATCCTAAATTGTCCCTGAATAAGAAAGAAATGTAAGTAAATATAGATTATAAATTGATATTTTTATTCAAAAAACATGAGTAGAATTAATGGACGGTACATTTATCCTATTTATTCCAAAGACAATTTTTCTTGATAATAAGTTTACTAATTTTAATCTTGCATCAATTTTGAAAATTTAACTATCTTAATGAGATCAGGCCAAACGACCACCAACCTGCAAAGCGAGTCAAATTAGGATTCTCATTATGCTTGTAAAATCAATTTACATCATAATAAATTGTACATGACAATATACAATCATTTCGACACAATTGTAATGCTGGTGCTTAGTGCATTATTAAGTTTGGAGTCAAAACAAAATTTCAATAAATAGTTTAAATTATAACACGCCCTAAAAAACTAGAAACTGTTTTTCATACCGAGATGATAAAGACCAGACCAGATGATGACATTTCACATGCACATAACGTCAATGTGACGATATACAAAACATTCAGTGCTTTATATTGAAAAGAAATATTATCCGTTTCACATTGTCCAGTTTCACTTCATAACTTTTTCATTGTACTTTCTACATATACTCTAAATTAAATTGAATGGACAGGAAATTGGATAAGGGTGAATAAAATTTCACCGCGTTTATATGCAGTTGAGCTTTAACTTTAGCATTAACGTTATGACAGCGTCATAATGACACGCATTAACGAAGAACTTGATACTGTGGTTATTCCGAACAGAGGCATGATTGAGAAATGTGAGACAAAATGAGACGAGGAGGCAGATTGAGACTCATTTCGTTCCATGGCACCATTTCTCACTGTCCCCTAAGATACCGCTCTTTTCAATTTTCTCGACTCATATTCCGGGTGACATTGCAGAAAGGAATAAAACTCAAATACTTCTTCAATCTTCGTACGGATTTAATTGATTGATTAATTAACTTTTCACTGTTAAAAAGTGAAGACGTGAACAGGGTCCAGGTGAGATCACATGCTTAACATTTGCACAACTTCCATCTCAGTTAAAATGTCAGAAAACTTATACTCATCGCAGTGCTTTATTTTAATTTTCAACATTGTTGTAATTTAATTTGTATGCAATAATTAATTATTCGACATTTTTATTTCATTCCACAGTTAAAAAATGGCTCTCGAATCCCTCTGTGGTTTTAAGAGTGGTGGACTCCTCTTTTCAAAATTTGGTAATCTTTCCGAAACCGAGGATGATATCGATGCTCATACTCCTAACATGAAGGATAACATGAAACTCATGATGCCACCTGCTTTGGACGTGAGAACTCATTTTTATTATTAACTTGCATTTCATTTCGTGACATCTTTTATGATCCTTATTTTCATACTACTAGATCCCAGAGTTGGAGTCCTTCAAACTCGACTATTTGTCTCCCTTTCACTCCGCGAAGGCTCCAGGACCTTTCGGCTTCATCCCTTCCGGACCAATTTCATCCTACGGGCCACGCCCCGCCACCTCTTCGGCCGGAAATAATAGCGGTGCCCCCGCCCTCCACATGGCTCACGGAACAACAACGCTCGCCTTCAAGTTCAACGGTGGTGTTATCATTGCTGTCGACTCTCGTGCCACGGGAGGAATGTTCATCGGGTCACAAGAGGTCAAGAAAATTATTGAAATTAATGAATTTCTCCTCGGTACGATGGCTGGCGGTGCAGCGGATTGTGTTTATTGGGAGCGCGTCCTCTCGAAACACTGTCGCCTTTACGAGCTAAAGAATCGTGAGCGAATCTCGGTTGCGGCGGCGAGCAAAATCCTGTCCAATATTGCTTACCAGTACAAGGGATATGGCTTATCGATGGGGGTGATGATCGCTGGGTGGGACAAGCGCGGACCAGGACTTTATTACGTAGACGACGATGGAAGGCGAGCGGCTGGAAAATTGTTCAGTGTCGGGAGTGGAGCAACGTATGCCTTAGGCGTGCTGGATGCAGGATATAGGTAAGGATTTGCAGCAAAAAACGGTTTTCAACGCAAAATTTGAAGCGCTGTATTAGACATTTGTCACTGTTTTCGATATATTCACAAACTAAATTCTTAATTTTTCAGGGAGGACTTGAGCGACTTGGAAGCTCAGGAATTAGGACGACGCGCCATTTTTCACGCGACCCATCGCGACGCTGCATCTGGAGGTGTAATTCGAGTATACCACGTAAGCCGCATGCATTACTCCTTGATCATCGATAAAAAGGCAATGCAAGTTATGTTGTAACTATTTTATATCTTATTTATTCAGGTGAAAGAAAACGGTTGGCAAAAGATTTCTGAAGTTGACAGCGACGAGTATTACGATAACTACTCGCAGCATAAGATGGCCATTAAGCCATAAGTCGTCTTTTTAACTCTAAAATTTCATATGAGACCCAAAATTATAATTAATAATCTATTGATCAAAACCAAAAGTAACTTTTCTCTTTAAAATCACATCTCTCTTTTTTACAAGGTTTTGTAGGATAGATTTAATTTAAACAATTTCAATATTATTGCATTCAGTATGCACGAATAAAAATTACGTAAATTCATAACAACATCTACGTCAAATAGTTTATTAATAGTTCAAACTTAATGCTTAGATGGCTTCATTACACATAATTGCGTATGTTGGAAACTACAAATTCAAATCAACAAGTGCATGATGACTAATAGTATCACCTGCTGTTCTGCTACGAACGACATTATACAAAACAATTGATATAAATTATAGTATAAAAAAGTTATGACAAATAATCTACACTATTTTTACATGATTTATTCCACTCCCTCGCACAATCTGGATTCTGGATAATAATGTCAGCATCATGCAGTCACTTAATTTTTCCTGCAGTGAATCAAATTTATTAAATAAAGGATGTACATGTGCATGATCCTTTACATGCATTCTATATGATGCTTAGTTTTTGTTATCGATTTATGATCCATTTGATTTTCCATTAAACATACAAATACTCCATAATTATTGTACTTTGTTCATAACAAATGTTTGCCAAGTGCTTAATTCTGATCTTATCTCTCGAACTGTGAACTGGAACTTTTGCTTTGCTTTGGGTAGTTCACTTCAGTTCAGTCAGTGCTGCACGTACATATACATAAGTCTGTATGTAACAAATGATTGTTTTCCGTTTGCCTTTAGTCGAATCATGACGATGACGACCATTACGAAGCTGATAAAATATACAATATGCCACCATTATCAGCATGATGATCATTAAAATGCAGATATAGTATGTTCACTGAATCACGTATGTATGTATTTAGTCACAACGTAAAAATCTACATATAACCAGGCAAAATTTATGAACACCCACTCCAATACTTTTCTCACTTCTATAAAACAACTTTTAAATAAAGCTGTGCTTCTGCGTTTATTTCTATTTGGTTAGCAAAAAAAATAAACAAAGTTGCAAAATTTTGCAGTGTTTGAGCGAATTAAATAAGTCTCCAAAAATGGCACAACCCCAACCGCCTTCAAATTCTGGAAAGGGTGACGGCATGATGTCCGCATCTGCCACATTGCACAACGACCAAGACTTTGGAATGCCACCCCCTCCTTATCCAGGCACGGAAAGTGAGTCAATTCACAGGAAAAAGTTGCAAATTTGAGAAATTAATGCGAACTATCCTCGGTCCAAAATACCTACTAACGTATGAGAATTGTCATCCAAAGAAATTATGTGGACATGTAAATTTACAGGGGATCAACAACCCCAAGGTTTTCCGGATCACCCACGAATTCCAGCTCCCGTGGGATGGGGGGCGTATCCACCACCACCTCCACCTCCTCAAAATCAACCGCCTTATCAATATGGCTCCACCACGACGGTCACGGTCCAACCCGCACAACTCGTTCAACCAGGAACTCGCGTCGTAATCGTGAGTGGGGGGTGTCCTAGGTGAGCCTATAAGTTTTCTTAAGTGCTCTAATGAATTCCGGAACCATTTGTTCATTCTTTTAGCATGCAACCATCGAGTTTAGACAAAAAAATCAATGTATTTCAGTTACGATTATGTGATTATGTTGACTAATTATTATTTACAATCTCTGGCGACAAAAAAGAATTACGAGAAAATCCCCAACTTATGAACGACGGCAATATTTTTGAAAATTTTTTCCTGATAAATTGTATTTCGAAATTTTGAATTATAAGAAGGTGGTTTTGAACCTTTGAACTTTTCACCTGAAATATGTCCAATACATATATGTTTTTTAACCGCTGCTCTCGTCGGCTCAACTTATGATACTTATGACTTCAAGTTTTGATGTATATGTGGGATGTATCATTACAAGAATATGCTTATCACGATCCAAATAATATGCATATCTAACTATTACATATGTGCTGTATAGATGCCACGTTGGTAGCCTGATAGATGATTTCGACTGCTGCGCTATTTTCTTGGCGATTTTTTTCTTCCCCATCGGTAAGGCGTCTTATCAAGTCTTATTTCTTCCATATTAGATATGTTATAAATTATTTGTATTATCTGTAGGAATCCTGTGCTGTTTGGCAATGAGACAGAAAAGGTGAGAAAAATTAATTGGCTTCTAATAAGATTTAAAAGTTTAAATGTTATTTTTCTTTAAGGTGTACAAATTGTGGAGCGACGTTTTGATGAACATATTGGAAAAATTAGAAACATGCCGCATTTTCATGAAACTTTTTCTAAAATAAGTTTTACCTCTTGAAGTCTTAAGAAGAATTTATAAAATAATAATACAAGTTATTTAGTATACTTAGAAGGTTGAAGGTGTTTACTTTCGACCAATTATTTTTTTCCTTAAACTTAGGCATTTATCTATTTCTAACAAATAAGTTTAATAAATATTGATTTTGATTTATAATTAAGTAAGATATCAAATTGTGCCATACTTTTCACGTCTAAATTTATGCCTCATGTCTCTTCTCAATGTCCGCATTTCTCTCCGCGTTGCGACCACGAAGAACCATTCCGTGGCAAGGCGATAAATGGATGCCTTTTAACGGGACATCCTCCGCCGCCATCATCTCCACATGCAAAAAAATCAATCGTATGATAATTTTTATCACCATCTTCATTTTCAATACAGATAAGCACTGATTATCATTACTACCTGAAAGAGCAACATTCTCCTCACCCTGTCCGACACGTTGGGATAACTCCCATGCACCAAGAGGTATGAAAATATTAGAACATCGCCACGTTTCGCCACGACGGAGGTGGCTTTATCAAGACTGAATTTGTCCTGATTATAAAATTATCAATCAGATAATGTACTTATTTATCATGAGCAATCTAACTTTGATACCTGATCCACATAAAAATGCGTCTCCACGTTTGACTTGTTCTCTTGTGGGCCCAATCTGTGCGACCCCGGAAACACGGCGAGACCCCCATTTTCAGTATCGCTATCATCCAAATGGATGAATATGGCGACCATAGAATCATTCTTGTACGGAAAGTAGTGATAGTCCTAAAGGACGCATATTTATTTAACGTGTGGCGCAAATTGGATGGAGGCAAACGTGTGTACCTGATGGGTTGGAAACGTAGCTCCGATTTTTTCCGGTTTGATGTGGGCCTTGGTATGGTGCAAACATACGTTCGGAGACCCCACGGTTTCAGCCACAATGTCCAAAAGGTTCTGGTTTAACAGCATTTTCGTAAATGTGGAGGAGTGACATTGCAAATTGTGGATCGATAAAACCTGGTAGTGAAAATGTATATATTTGTTAGCACACAAAGAATTCTATAAAATGGAACAAAGTAAATAGCAATATACCGATTGTTTTTTATGTTCGTTTTTCCAGTTGCCTTTCCACTCTGCTTCCAAATTCGACTTGTTTTTAACCTTGTCCGCAAACAAGGTATCGTAGGCTGTGGAACATTCGCTTATTTCGGTCTCGGTGAAAATATTGGATACTAGAATGTAACCATTTTGGGAATAAAATTGTTTTTGTTCAGGAAGTAACGACATAATCGATTTGTGTGCTTGTGTTGAAATCTTAACGTTAATGAATGCGATGGAGATGGTTTAGATTTGTAGTGGATTATGTAGGGTCAGTGCGGGTTAGTGTGGCCACTTTTTTCCAACTTTGGGTTCTCCAGTGAAACAAAAATGGTTGTGAGTCAAAAATACCTATTTAGAACATCGTGTATTTCTATTTAACTATTTGGCTGTAGTTTATGACCAAAAAAAGTTAAAAAAATATAATTGGAAGTATTATTTATCAATTATTCAAAATAAAAAAAACAGTGTCCACACTAACCCTACCAAATGGGGTTAGTGTGGCCAGTGGAAGGATTAGTGTCGACATGTATATCCGTTAATGCACACATGATTTGGATTAAAATGCTTTTCGAATTTAAAGACACCAAGCCATGTAGTATGTCACCCAGTTCGATAACAAGATTTCCACCACACCCACACCCTCTGGGGGCGTGGTTTCCAAATTTTAGTTATTCAGTGGAAATCTTAACTGCTGAGAGAAATAACGTATGTACGTCATCGCTTGGTGTCTTCAAACTTAAGAGTCGATGAAAACCACACCCACTGGGGGTGTGGTTTCCGAATTTTTGTGGTGAGATTCTTTCATGGGGATAAGAAAAATTAAATATCATACTAAATAATTTCGTGAAAGCCGGAAAGGCGTTGAGGACCACACTCACTGGGGGTGTGGTTGCCAAATTTTTATTGTTCGTATAATTCTTTCCCTCCAGAGCTGATACGAACAACATATTACGTCGCCTGGTTTTTTAGTATGAAAAAGTCAAAAACATCGAAAAATACACCCACTTGGGGGTGTGGTTGCTACATTTTAGCTATTTAATCGAGATTCCCTTATCTACCTGAGAAAAATGATATGTCACAAATAATGGTTTGGCTAAAATATAAGTCCAACACTAATCTATCACTACTGGCCACACTTACCCCTCAATTCATAATATTGGAGGGTTAGTGTGGACACCAATTTTTTAATTGACTGGACAGCTACTTTATTTAAACATTAATGTACAAATATAATATGGGCGCATATTATGTTGAGTAAAATTAATTATAATGCTGGCATTACTTAATGTCTATGAAATCCAAATTTAAACATCACCTGATTAAATTGATCCGAAAAGGTTTTTAATTATGAAATTTTGATCGCACTAATTTTGTGAGATAATGAATTTTCCGAGTTCTCCAAATTTATTGTTCAGAACAAGAAGGAGTTGTAGTTTGATGTGAAATTTTTTGTTTTTGAAAAATTCGTAGTTTTACCATAGAAAAATCGTTTGGCCACAATTGCCTCGTGGCCACACTAACCCGTACCGACCCTACTTATGTTCAGTTGTTAACTTTACTTATGTATGTCCTATGTTGTCATCAATTCATCATACATATTTCATATATAATCAAATCATGTTATGTAAGTATGAAATTCATAACACAGGACAAGATATGATGTAATTAGGATTATGTGGGGATCACATTTTAGGGATTACTTCTGCTCAGCAGATATCTGTAAATTGTAGAGAGAGATACACTATTTACAAATCTGTTCAATCACTATGTATTTGTATATAAGAAATGTATTTATATATACATGTGAATGTGGGTGTATACTTGGATAATGTTTTTGAGTATCTAGCTGAATAAAAAGGAGGACGCACTCTTCTTATGAGAAAATCCCCCCCCGTGATATTTGTCCCAAATTTTGATATGTTGTACACCTCGAGGTGCTGATCAAAAAATGTATTGGTCCCTAAGCCCTAAGTGACCTGGTTCGACCGGAAACAGAGGTCAAAGGTCAGTGCACTTTTTCGCTCGAAACCCCACAAACCGTATATTTTTGGAAAGCTACGGACCTCACGAGTCCGAATATACACCATAATAGGGTCCAGGGTCAACCCTTGACCTTTGGAGGTCAGGTATTTTGGGCAAGGTGACCTTTTTTGGACCTTACCTCCGCTGCACTCCGGTCAGCCGAGTGCATGGCAACAAGCTTAGTCGACTCTATCGCTGTTGTGTGTGCAACTGTGTTGCAACAGCAAAACACATTTGCAACTTTTTTGCTTGACCTCGAAGGGTCAAGAGTTGACCTTTGACCCTATTAAGGTGTATATTCGGACTCGTGAGGTCCGTAGCTTTCCAAAAATATACGGTTTGTGGGGTTTCGAGAGAAAAAGTGTACTGACCTTTGACCTCTGTTTCCGGTCGAACCAGGTCACTTAGGGCTTAGGGACCAATACATTTTTTGATCAGCACCTCGAGGTGTATAACATATCAAAATTTGGGGTAAATATCACGGGGGGGGATTTTCTCATAAGAAGAGTGCGTCCTCCTTGCTTCAATTCTTATTCACTAAAATTCTTATTCTTATTCAGTTCCTGTTCACTAAATAATTACGAATTTTAGTTTCGAAAAGAATGGAAAGCAGTAAAGACTGTATATCTGTACAGTAAATGACAATTCCATGTAAAAAAATATTTGTTTTGCATTTTTGTAATGTGTATGTATATAATGTATGCCATATATTCTTTTGTTATTGCTAAATTTATTATTAGTAAATTTACATGATTCTGAGAATGGCCCGGATAAATAAAAATATTGTCATCATTAACAGCAAACAACAAATAGGTTTAAACCGATCAAGAAGTCATTCGTAAAACCATTTATAATGACACCACGAAAATTTGTATCGCATTCTTTACTTATTTTAATCATACTCTTTGTTGACAAGACCGCGTCCAAGGTGCACAAACTGCGCCAAGTTTTATCTACGGGGACCGTGTTCGAGGAGTTTGACCACTCCACCGTGTCTCTCTACGATACCGTCTTCCCCCTAATTTATTCCTACAAGGGCCCAGACTGGTTTTGGCAGAGGGAATTGTCCGCAAGTTCTGTCCCGAATTGTAGCGATGATAGCTACGGGGGCGACACCGGAGCCGGTGGTCTCTGTCCGATTTGGTTCCACGTGGGAACCCAGTTGAGAAAGGAGATGGATTTCGCGATGGGTTTGCAATTCATGACCTCGATGACAGAATCTGATATGGATTTAGGCTTGGGACGTGGAGCTGGGTGTGACAGAGTGGAAAAACATTTCTTTGTGGAGGTAAATTAATTGGGTTTTTCAACATAACAAATATGTGTTACAGATAAATATTACTAATTTTAAACGCGACTCTGTTTTCTTCATTATTTCCTAGCGTGTCCAAAACGATAAATTTGCATCTTACCTCTCCCGATGGCGACGTTGCTCCGAGGGACGAATTTGGGAGAGTGATCTTATAACAGAATATTCTGGTAAAATTTCGACCGTTTACGCCACCTTGGCGAAACAGTGGATGGACGTTTTCGGTCCGAAAGCAATGCGAACCGAGGCCCGAATAGCGAAGGGGGCAGAGTTAAATGAAAAGCTGGCCTTGGCTGGATTACTCTACACACATTATCTCGCCCTGGTAAAAAGATGGCGTCGTGGATTCAGAGATTGGTAAAGTTGTAAAATGTTAAATATGTGTCGAATTGAATGTCAAATCTGTGTTTACTTTTCTAGTAAACTGGGCCTTATTCCGGATGCGTTGTTAAGTTCGAAACGCCTCCAAACCGGGTTGGACGCTTTGGGAAGGAAGATTGGACCAGAATTTCGATTCGCAATTCCACATCAGGGTGCGATATTTATTTATTGTTTAATGCGGATTATAAAATATTCGGGTTTTTCACATGCTGTCTGATTTTTTTATACAGGATCCGAAATTTCAAGATATTTTAAACAACACTCCCTGGCCGATTGTGTTTACACGAGTGACCGGTTTTATCTGAGGATACTCATTCCCGTGGTGAAAGTACGGGCTGCTCCGATTAATTTGGTGAATATTCGGTCACTCCCGTTTCTCAGAGAGGTAAAGGGCGTGGCTCAGATGTGCATGGTGCCCGGATTTGAAAAGGGTACATAAATGCCAGAATTACTTAAAATCGTGCCTGTTTTATTAGGTACGATTAAACACCCATATTTTTACCTAGGACGTCTTTTCCCCACTACAATTGAAGAAGGTGGGCCCTCGTTAAATGGCACTTATTTTTCCACCACGACGCAAGTGCAATGTGACCCTACTAATTTTAAACTCTGTCAAATACCCGATCCGGATGGAGCCATGGTTGGTAAAGTTACGCAATGCGCAAGGGCGTTAATATTGTATGATTTCGATCCCAGTGAGAAGAACGAGGCTGGAATTGTGGTACTTGATATTTACATAACTGCATATTATTATCCATTTTAAATCAGGGAATCGGGATTACATACACTGTTTCTTACAGTTGAACTGTCCTCTAAACTGCAAGGACCTCCGAGACGAAAGATTCCCCATACTTGTCAGGGCAAGAGACGAATCTCAGACAATTTATGTGATCAGTGACCCCAAAAAGGAAGACGGACTTGGATACAAATGGTAATTTAAAATAAAATAACGGCATGCACGGCGGCAACAAGTTTGATTTTTATTTTACGCGCATGACACCTGCATCCTTCAAAAAATTAAGTCGCCTCATTTTCTTTTTGAAATTTTTCTCCAGCTCCACCGCCACTCCACCCACGGAAAATGAGGACCCACCCCCTCCCGAAGAACACTTCCTTCCTCACCCAATTCGCGACGGGGTGCTGGCCTTCTTCCTCCCGTGCAACTGCACCCTCACCATCGGTCCTACAATCCTCCTTCCTTCGTCCATCGACTGCCCCAGCCCTCCCGACCCCGTGACCTTTCGCCTCACCCCCTTCCACTTCCTCGACCCAAATAATACCTCCACCTCGAAAAAGATGGAAGCCGCCCAGGCCAACACGCCATCCCCCATCCTAAATCCGGATGATGCAGCGAGATAAATAATTTATGCGTTGAGCGCAAATAATTTAACTAATTCAAACCCAGCCTCCGCCCAAATTAACTACCAACCAGACCCAGACAGACAAAGACTAGACGAGATAGATAACTAATACATAATTCATTTCATATTTTTATTCAAAATAATTTATATGACTTTTGTTGAGACAGTTCTTGGTTTTTACTTGGCAGCTCTGCAAATGAGAGCGAGTTAGTATGTAAAGCATAACAGAAAACTGGTGTTCAACGTCTGTAAAGTCACACCCCACCCAACCGTCGTACATCGGCGGGCCACGCGTTGGAAAACAATTCATCACGACAGGCAAAGTCTCCTCGACAGTATGAATTTGTAATTGGGATGATTAAATTTCATTAAACAATTTTATACCTGGGGACTGAGGAGAGAGAACATTTAAAAAAAATAATGCGAATAATAATATAATTTGTAAAATTAATGAAACTGGTTTCCCAGTCATGGTCCTGTTAATTGGTGGACGGATGCATGCATACGCATTTTCAGTCTCACTCACTCACCTCAACTACTTAAAAATCATTTAGTAACGAAACGAAACTTGAGATGAAATTGAGAATGAAACCAACAAAAAATTGGCCTAAAGAAGAATTTTATTACTTAAGACGATGTTTTCCTTTAGCTCGAGGGATGATGTGAGAGAGAGAGAGGTACATATAATTTGGGACAAAAAACGAATAAATATTTAACTCGTTTAACAAAGAGTGAGTCGTTTGTGATGATGGTCAGTTATTTATTTGGGAGTCAGTAAAGGTCTCAAAATCTCACCTGATTACGATTTTATGAGTGTGATCATGATCACGAGAGATGAACTTGGATTAAGAATTTACGAAAGTATGAATGCACATTGGTTTATGTATCATTTGCATATATTTAATTTTGATACGAATAATTTTACATATTTATTGGCTTGTCAGACACAATTCATTATTGGTGCCAATTCACGTACGTAGTAGAAAATTTTTCTTTTGAAATTTCAGAATTGTACTTATGCAAATGATTTTTTGGTGTGGTTTGAGTTGAAACTTTTCCAATTTTTTTGGAAGAACTCGTCTCTCAATGTCAGGTGTCACATCATTATAACAATGTCAAGATAAACGATAAACGTCAACCCCAGGTCAGTCGGGCGGATAATAATTCATGAAATTAAAAAGAGTCAGAGGGGCATGAAATGAATAATAATAAACCGTCACAACGAATGTAACCAAGGGGTGAAAGAAGTGTGTTATCCGTATTTCAATTCAAATTGATGCATGTATGCAATTTGACCTTTAAATGACATTTCATGACCTTTTGACCTTGATGGGTGTGACCTACAGTGCCCATCTTCGAACTCGTCCTCTCTATTGACGTTAGGAGTTTACGTTCAAAATTTGAAGTCTCTATGTCTTTTCGTTCAAAAGTTATCGGACCAACGGACGGACGGACGGACGGACGGACGGACGGACGGACGGACATAACGATCTTATAAAGGGCTTTCACCCCTTAATAATGAAAATGAAAATATAATTATTACGAGAAAAGAAAGTTAATTGTTAAAGGGATACATTAGTATTGTTGTTTTTGCTTGGATATTATGCTTACGTGGTTTGGCTTTGATTTTGGTTTTTGGTCCAATTTATTCCACCTAAAAGTAATTCCGCTGTGTTTTGTCTTATGGAGCGGAAAATTATGCGGTGAGTGGATCATTGTTCTTTCGTGGTGGTGGTTTCGAGGTAGGATGTAAATTAAGGCGAAATTTGGTATTTTTTGTGGTTTCGCAATCCTTCTTGATTTTGGAAACCTTGAGAATTTTCTAATTTCTTTATTTATTTAGTAAGAAAATTGTTGAGTGAAATAATTATGATGAAATTTTGGGTAATTTTACAAGTTCGTGAGTATAATCCAGTCCATTTTCATAGGTATTTGGATATCACTTCTTAAGATTTATCGAGGTTTCATGATATATGATACATATGTCCATGATGATTTACCAAATTATGCCAAAATATGATGTAATTGTATTCTACGCAAATTTATTTCACAAATCCAGTCAATTTTCATACTTACGTGATGGAACACCAGTTTTCCCACAATAAGTGGATTTTCCTCCTCCACACTTTTATCGGATTTATCATTTGGTTCTTATCCATCCCTGGGATTTTATTCGTCATTTTCCCAGCGTACCTCCTCCGCCGCGCCCACTCCATTTTCGCCCCCTCCCATCTCGAGTTCCTCGGCCCAGAAGATGCCATCCTCTCCCTGGCTGAAACATCTGCTCATTTAAATAGTAACACTGCCCAGATTTGGCGACTTTCTCCTGGAATTTTAAATGTTTCCGAGTTCCGAGCCCTGTTTTACCAATGTTTCTTATCCACACCGGAAAAACGGAGGAAATATCGCAACTTCGGGGCGAGGATTGTCTCTTGGGGTTGCTACACCTGGAAAGAGGTCAGGTCTCGGATCGATTTAGAAAAACAGATCAAACTCGGCCCGACAGATTTGAATTTGGTCGAGGATGAAGATAAATTCGAGGAATGGATTGCTCGTTGGATGGCGACGAATGATTACGCCCCGGAAATGGCGGCCTGGGAGGGGATCATTCTACATGGAAGGGAGAAAAACGAGTCAATTTTACTACTAAAGATGGATCACGCCCTTACCGATGGGTACACGTGGGGTCATTTGGCCAGTATGTTAGCCGGGATGGGAGATAAGATGCCTTATCTGGTGAGAGATCATGACAAGGAGATAAGTTGGTTGAGGAAGAGCCAGATTTTTCTGGCATTTCCGTCCGTTTCAACGAAGGATGTGTTTTCCTGGTTAAGGGGAAAAAGTGTCCCGTACCATTGTTATTCTACTCCAGGCACAGAGAAAAATTCGGAGTGGATGATGTCCTTGACGAGACTGGACTTGGGCATGGTTAAGCGAATCAAGCGACACGTGGGGGGAAGTGGGGTTCATTTTAATACGGTTTTGGGGTCCGTGGTGGCGGGTGCTTTGAAACGATGGTGTCTCGAGGAGGGGGGTGTGACCATTGATAAGCTTCCGGAAAAAGTGTGGCTCCCTAATCCGGTCGGATGGCCGGGCCATCCCATCATGGAAAAGGAGACGCTGAATGGAAAGGGGATGGGGAATCATATGTGAGTCTAGGCATTTATGGGAAAAATGAAACTGTGCTAATTTGCATAGATAATTTTGGATGCTTGACTATGACAAACATGATTTCTATTAATGACAGGTCGACGCGAAACCAATCCTTTCCCTTTGCCATTGAGGACGACCCTCTCCATCGTCTTTTAGATGGGGAGAAATCCGTCCAATATGCGGAAAGCGTCGGTCAAGCCATTGGTTTTCGATGGATTGTTGGCAGCGTGGGATGGTTAACTCCAACAACAATTTTACGCCAAACGCTCGCCAAATCCTCACCCTCCATCCGATCCGGTCTTGAACAAGTGTTAACCCCACTTTTACTTTCTCCCGAACCGCACAAACTGCTCGGGATGGATGTGATCGGACTACATTTGCCTGTTCATGTTCCGCACCTGCTCGTCGCAACAAGTGAGTCAAGAGAGACACCCGAATTCGGGCATTTCATTTATTAAATTGTTATCCTCTTAGAGTTGTATGTCGTCCCGGTCTCGGTCGGAGGTCACTTGGAGGTCAGCGTCTCCGCGACCAAGGACGCATTTCGGGATCAGAAGAGTTTAAATCGCTTCACGAAAGTAATGCTGAGTGAAGAATTGGCCAAATTGTGGGCAAAATGCGAACAAGATTTGCCAGAAAAATTAATTATTCATTAACCAAATAGGGAAATTTTAGCTATATCGAGTATTTATTTAATTGGTTCATTTCCTCATGATAAGACATATTTGGATAAGGTATCTGTATTTCTGATAAATTTCAGGAGATGTAACAAGAATAATGATGATAAAAGTATAATAAATAATTAAAATATTTTTTTAGTTGTATTTCAGTAATTCTAGATAAAGTACTTATCCCCTAATTACGAATGTCTTCATTAATTTTGATACTAATCTAAATATAATTATTTGGACTAATTAATTACTAAAGTTTCCAATAACATAGACGACTATTCAGTAATTAGCAGTTTTAAGGATGATCGAGGTAGTTGCAGTGGTAGGGCTTTCTGTGTGAATATTTGTCATCTCTAACTCTGACTCTTCATATATTTATGTATATTATTTTATACAATCTTTGGTATTTCTCGCATAAATCTAATTTTTCTTTGGGTCTGGCAATGATATTTAAAAAAGATTAAATTTATGCACAATTACATAAACGTAAAATGCTGGATTGATTGAGCAATTAAAACGGGATTAGCTACACGTAAATAACTGGTCTACAACGCACACTTATCCCTCGCAGGCAGGCTTTTTAAGATATAAGTAAGATTTTGGTAACTATATTTTTCATGATATGGAACACGACTTGTTTTTGTCCATTTGTAAGTTTTTAAGAAATTGTTCCCACCTTAGTTTTCGTCTTGTTACCTTTTTTTGTTTTACTTTTCGACGATTTTTTAACTAATGCCATATCTTCCAAGCGATCTTCTCTCCTGCGTCGATGTGCCGCACCGTAGTCTGACGCTCCACCGGTGAACGAGTTAAGCGAACCGATCAGGGGGCCTTCGCCGCCACCTGGGTAGAAACACAGAATATATGTAAATCACATTTTGAAAAATTTCGACACATTTTTTTTCATCCAGTTTTTCGAACTTTTTTCCCGTTTCACTAATAAACTAACCATTCCACTCGTCCATCTCATCCGTCCTGACCATATACTTATTATTCTGTTGGCGATTCTTTTCCTGCGCCAGCCTTAAATATTGACATTTTGCAAAACACAGAGCCCCCAATCCATTCACGGCGAAAAAAGCACTTTCCGCCCCCAGGTCGAAATCGTACAAGGCCGCGACCGCACCAAACGCCGAAAGGACCGATGAACAGGTGAAAACACAGAGACCACCGCCTTGACCTCCTCCACCACCCATTCCACCCCCTCCACCACCGCCCACACTAACTCCACCACCCCCACCGGACATGTCGAAAATTTAAATTTAATCACGATTCACACACCGAATTTTGTAATTATCTAAATCAAGAAACAAGCACTAACAGTGTCTCACTTTCATTCAAGAAGAACGAATTGGTGAACTTGACTTGGATTTGGGTTCCTTTTAACGGAAGTTAAAAGATAGAAAGTGACATGCGGTTGGTGGCAGATAAGTCATAAAAATGACCACAAGAGGTAACTTGTCAGACTCAAGTGTGCAATCTGACTGCGATAATGATGACGACGACGAGACCAACCCCAACAGAAAATTTAATGAAATTGAAGGTCTCTCTCTCTTTCTCGTTCTGTGGTGTGTCAGTTGATTTTTGTTGTCTGTGTCACTGTATCTGCGGGGTTAACGTTAATATTACTAACGTCGTGGTAGTGTTGGTAATTATGGGTTGTTAAACACATGGAAAACCTCCCGTAACACAACCTCCACCTTCACCTTCACCTTGTTTAATTCTCGTAAAAAAAGATTGTGCACGATTGTAAAAAAAATTGTAGTAAGAGATATTTTTACAAGTTTGCTTGAAAGTTTTAAGGAAGGAAATGTGTATTTGCAATTTGTAGCATGTAGTAAAATCGTTGGCGTTGTGTTCAGTTGTGGGTCACCGGATCACAGGATCTGAAGCCCCATTTCGCACAGAAAATACCAGAATTAGTAGAATTCTATCATTCCACTCATTTTATTTTACTTTACACGCTACGCTCGGGCAAAGGTGAAGGCCATAGTGAAATGAAAACCCGTCGTGGCATACAGACGGTAAAATAAGGGGGCCGGTAGTTAAGCCAAGCCAGTCAAGCATCATCTTCATAGTTTGCTCAACACCCTGACACGAACGTAGGTAAGGATAAGTAAGTAAGTGGATATGTTTTGTGAACAGGTTTTCTTCTTCTTCAGCATTCAGCAGCAGCTCGTCAACGTCAACCCAATTACGAATTATGGGAGGTTTTTGATCTGATGAGACTTCATAATAATTGTACGCGGAGAGTGTGTGTATTATAGGAGGTCAAGTGGAAGGTTGGTAGGTAGTCGTGGTCATTGTGCTTATCTGATTGTTGGTGTAGCGATTGTTTGTAGTTTAATAATCATTAAACAAATGAGTGGATTTAGGTTTGAATGAGTTAACTAGTTGTGGCTGTGCGAATAAGAAGAATTTCGAATGAAATAAAAGTCCACTTTTTTGCACATCGTGGCTAACCATGAAAACGAAATTCGCACATATCTCTCGGTATGTATGAAATCAGTACAAGTCATACATATCGGACCACATATCTATGAAACCAAGAAATGTACGGTGTACATGCAATTTGAAACTCAATGTAGCAAAACGCGTAACGATAAAATAATAATAAAATGCCTAACGAAATGAGTCTACTAGAAACAAAAACGTGTTGAGTTGTTGGGTCTGATTCTTGTCGAAAAGTAAAGTTTGCCAATTCATTTCGCAAAAAAGTTGCAGTAGTAGAAGTGGAAAAAATGAAGATAAAATAATGACAAGAAATGTGTCTTTTTATGCCATGAAAGATAAACGAAATGCATGAGTACAGTGTTTCTGCTGTTAAAAAACACCTGCATGAAATTAGTGAACAAAAATGTTTTTAAACGTTTAATAATGCCCACTAAAAATCCGGAAAGCATGAAAATTTAGGGAAATGCATAAAAATCATTGAAGTCCAAATGATATTATGTAGATTGTAAAAATCATACGAAATTGAATAATTTAAACGTCAAAATAAAATTATTAAACGCCAAAATAAAATTATTGAATAATTTAAACGCCAAAATAAAATTATTAAATAATTTAAACGCCAAAATAAAATTATTAAATAATTTAAACGTCAAAATAAAATTATTAAACGCCAAAATAAAATTATTGAATAATTTAAACGCCAAAATAAAATTATTAAACGCCAAAATAAAATTATTGAATAATTTAAACGCCAAAATAAAATTATTAAATAATTTAAACGCCAAAATAAAATTATTGAATAATTTAAACGCCAAAATAAAATTATTAAATAATTTAAACGCCAAAATAAAATTATTAAATAATTTAAACGTCAAAATAAAATTATTAAACGCCAAAATAAAATTATTGAATAATTTAAACGCCAAAATAAAATTATTAAACGCCAAAATAAAATTATTGAATAATTTAAACGCCAAAATAAAATTATTAAATAATTTAAACGCCAAAATAAAATTATTAAATAATTTAAACGCCAAAATAAAATTATTAAATAATTTAAACGCCAAAATAAAATTATTAAATAATTTAAACGCCAAAATAAAATTATTAAATAATTTAAACGCCAAAATAAAATTATTGAATAATTTAAACGTCAAAATAAAATTATTAAACGCCAAAATAAAATTATTGAATAATTTAAACGCCAAAATAAAATTATTAAATAATTTAAACGCCAAAATAAAATTATTAAATAATTTAAACGCCAAAATAAAATTATTAAATAATTTAAACGCCAAAATAAAATTATTGAATAATTTAAACGTCAAAATAAAATTATTAAACGCCAAAATAAAATTATTGAATAATTTAAACGCCAAAATAAAATTATTAAATAATTTAAACGCCAAAATAAAATTATTGAATAATTTAAACGCCAAAATAAAATTATTAAATAATTTAAACGTCAAAATAAAATTATTAAACGCCAAAATAAAATTATTGAATAATTTAAACGCCAAAATAAAATTATTAAATAATTTAAACGCCAAAATAAAATTATTAAATAATTTAAACGCCAAAATAAAATTATTAAATAATTTAAACGCCAAAATAAAATTATTGAATAATTTAAACGCCAAAATAAAATTATTAAATAATTTAAACGCCAAAATAAAATTATTGAATAATTTAAACGCCAAAATAAAATTATTAAATAATTTAAACGCCAAAATAAAATTATTGAATAATTTAAACGCCAAAATAAAATTATTAAATAATTTAAACGCCAAAATAAAATTATTGAATAATTTAAACGCCAAAATAAAATTATTAAATAATTTAAACGCCAAAATAAAATTATTAAATAATTTAAACGCCAAAATAAAATTATTGAATAATTTAAACGCCAAAATAAAATTATTAAATAATTTAAACGCCAAAATAAAATTATTAAATAATTTAAACGCCAAAATAAAATTATTGAATAATTTAAACGCCAAAATAAAATTATTAAATAATTTAAACGCCAAAATAAAATTATTAAATAATTTAAACGCCAAAATAAAATTATTGAATAATTTAAACGCCAAAATAAAATTATTAAATAATTTAAACGCCAAAATAAAATTATTGAATAATTTAAACGCCAAAATAAAATTATTAAATAATTTAAACGCCAAAATAAAATTATTGAATAATTTAAACGCCAAAATATAATTTAATAATTTAATAATTTAAACGCCAAAATAAAGTTCACGTGTCAAATAATAAAATAATTCGGCTCATTTGGCTAATGTACTCATCCTCGGTGATTATTTTTAGTAGCGTGAAACGGAGTTTTGTATATTGAGATTTTCCTAAATATTTGATTAATTAAGAAACCGTTGTGCTATTTTATGCTGTTTTCCTTACCATTTTAGCATTTAAATGACAAAACATTTTTCGGTTTTTAATATGAAAAATTAAGGCTTTCAAACCCTGGTGGTATTATAACTAAAAGTTTAGAAGTGAATTTTGTCCCTACTTAACGGGGTAAGAAAATATAAAATTTCCTTAAAATTTGAAATTTCCTACATGAATTAATGCAGTTTAATACATTTGTGTGCATGTTATGCACCAAGCACGCATGAAAATAATATTGTGCGCACAAAAGAAACACTAATGTATACTTTTTCATACCGGTGTTGCTCATCCTGAGTGGCAAAACTGCATCTCGAGTTTTGATGAGACGATCATCCATTACGGTAATAGGTTTAGCTAGCTAGGTGCCAGAAAATTTGAATAATATGTAAAATACGAAATTGTATCGTCAGACTGCTCCTTCTTCGATGAGTTTTAAGCTGCTCGTTTTAATTATGGGGCAGCTCACCAGATTGAAATTTTGTGTAGAATAATAATCTAATGAAAATGAGAATGAAAGAGAATGGTGGTGGTGGTGTCAATCTGCAAATTAAAAGCAGAATCTGAAACTAAACTAAAACAGATGCCATATTATTATGCTGTGTTTGCCGTTCGTGATATAAATGATAACAGAATCACGGTGTGGTTTTGGCATGGCGTGGAAAAGTGACAGGTTGACAGGGACGAGGATGGACACCTTTTCATTATTTTGCAATTTTGCATGCTTCTCTGGTTTCGTCTCGTCTTTTTGAATGTGAAATCCTGTGAAATGAACAAATGGATCGAGATGGAATGAGATGAAATCATGCTCCAACTTTATTCAACAAGATTCTTCGTACGGCAGTCTTGTTATTCAACAAGGCGGCCCCCGATCGGTGCGAGGATGATGATGGGAAACAAAACAGGGAAACAATGGGTGGATGGAATTGGATGCCAGGGTCTGAAAAATTGCAGGGTTTGAAAAATTGCAGGGTTTATTTAAATATGCGGTGTTTTTTGGGGTATCAATTTAAAAAACGTGTACATATTATGTAATCCTCGAATCAATATGCTCGCTGTTTATCCTTCTTTGAAAATACGTATATTTTTAAAGAGACGTTTTTCGGAACTCTTGAATGTAAAGTTTGATATTGGTCACAATTTCCCTGTTTTTTCTTTGAAATTTCACAATTCCGACGCTTAAACCATACAATTTACAAATGATGACAATAAAAGTATAAATTTCATTTCCTTCATTCCTAAGTATGAACCAGTTATATAAATAAGTTCAATACTATTTTTACCACATGCTCCTGAACGCAATGAAGCGATAAAATTGTTTCGTAAAGTTCTGTACAAATCTTTGATCGACTAGACAATTTTTTATTGTAAAATCGTCTAAAATTATTGTGCCGAGTCTAATGGATTTATGCACCAGATTTGATCTACGTCCATTACACGAAATACATAATTTTTGAATTATCTAAAACTTAAATATTTAAAAAAACATTCAAAATTTCGGAACCCTTTTATTCCAGACGAGATTTCGAGTTGAATTCCAATTCCCATACTAATAATACCTCCTCCATCAATCTCATCTCATTCTTTCCTTACTCTGTTTTTCCATTTGCGTAGGCATTCTTCTCTCCTCTTTAATCGGGAATGAATATGAGATTTATTTCACTCCCCACTCCTGTTTTTATTTTGAATTGGAGCGGATTTGCAGATATCCAATTCTAAATAAATATGTACAAGTGGATCAATTCAGTGTGAAGTAGATCGTGTTTCAGCTCGTGGAACGGGTCTTACTTGAGTCGGCTTAGGCAGGCAGGTGAAAGTTAGAGATAGGTGAAATTTCTGTCAATTCCCAGGTGAAAGTGAGAGACAGCTCTATCTATTTGTTCTGTATTATTGGATCGTAAGCTCACTAAATAATTCGGCACCTAAATATATTTTTTATTCAGTGCATGTAAGCCAAACTCCCCCACTTTTAGTATGTATGTACTATCGAATGCCTTTGAATGGATCCGGGCTCGTATATATGATACGTGAATGATGATGCTGAATATAGCAAAAGCAGGTGCACTGTGTACGGATAACCAAAAAAGCGGACAAATTATTTTTAGGTTCGAGTCCCAGTCGGGGCATTATTTTTGTTTGCATTTTTCTTGACTTTTTAAGGGTGGAGGGTTCAGAGCCCACAATCCCTTCGACCTACGACGACCTGGTGACCATGTGTACGCGACGAAAAGTACGAAAAGTTGATATTTCTCACTTTTCGTCGCGTACACATGGTCACCAGGTCGTCGTAGGTCGAAGGGATTCGACCCTCCACCCTTAAAAAGTCAACAAAAATCCAAACAAAAATAATGCCCCGACTGGGACTCTAACCTAAAAATAATTTGTCCGCTTTTTTGGTGATCCGTACACTGTGCACCTGCCTTTGCTATACTCAGCATCATCATTCATGTATCATATATACGAGCCCGGATCCATTCAAAGGCACTCGATAGTATGTAGTTGCGATTGGTTGGTCACATCGTGTAATAATTGATCGCAAATGCATGTTTGTTACCCCCCCGGGAGAAATTTCTAAAAACGCTGCAGTAAATTTCAATTTCGTGTAGAAACTGCAATTCGAAATTTTATTGAGTACGTACAAGTTGGTCAGAAAAGTGTATTAATTTTCCGTAAAATTCAAACTTGTTATCTTTCATTCTGAAAATTTGTTACGACCTGATTAACCGTTAACGTTAGACATACATATTTATTTAATCCGGGTATAACACTTTTATTGCCAAATTATTTAGAGTGCTCCCCAGCACACGATATAGACTGACATTGGTTAAGTATTCGCATTTTGTATTCTAACCTTTCCTTTACCTTCTACGTTTGATCTGACGAATTCGGATGGATATGGATCGAGCCATGAGTTTTATTTATATGAGGAATGAATCAGATTTTTTCCAGTTGAGTGTAAATTATTGCGGTATATTTTTCCCTCAAAACTTTTGATCTGGAAGGAGACAGTGATAAAAGCATTTCTCTTATGATACGTGGGAAAGAAAAACAAGGCGAAGCAGGAAATTAAAATAAATGGTTCAGTCCGTGCAGGTATTTTGTATCCCATTTTGGCCTTGATATTTTTATAGCACGCGATATTATAGTGGAGAAAGTATGCAAAAATGTACCGGAAGTTGGAAAAAGTCGTACGATTTTTCGGTTCAGTAACTTACATCTTTTTAGCCAAGAATTTGAAGGTGAGTAAGTTTAAAGCTGTGTCGTCTCAACTTGGCCACGAGTTGTGCTTCTTGTAACACCTAAGGCTTGGTCGTAACTGGGCAGTTGTTGCTGTTCCTCTTCCTCGTTTCTGAATAGGAGAGCTTGTGAATATGATGGGGCGAGATAATACAGGTTTCGCCCATCTGAAACAAAATCAAATTTTGCAAAAACTTCGCAAGAAATTGGGCAGAAATTGGGTATGTAGTCTTCTTCTCAGACCACACCCACTCTTTCTGCACGTCGGGGACGATATGTAAAAAATTGTGGACAGCACGAAACTAAATTTAAAAATTTCATAATTTGAAACCCAGATTTTCTAGCATCGCAAGATCACGAAGCCACAAAGAAACTCCCAAAACTTAGGGTAACCTGACTATCCTGCAGTTTCTGCTTTCACCAGTCAGTCCTAACTAGACCCACACTACTCACAAATTCTAATATAAACTCGTAAAAAATAATGAAATATACCCAGTGATCCTGGCGTTTCTGCCGCCTTGACGAAGGTCACACTTCTTGACAGTGGTCCCATAATTCCATCCGGGTATAAATCCTTCTCCAACAGAAAATCCCCCCTTCCCAACAGTAATCTAGGTCTGTTTCGATCTGTTACTCGAGGAGAAGGTTGTCTCTGACTTTCCCTCATAACGTAATTCGTCCCGAACAACTTGGTCACCTGGAAATCATCATCAGAAATCAAGTAATCAAATCAAACCTTACCACCACCACAATTTCAGCAATTTAACCGAAACCAGATCATCAAATCAAATCTCGCATCAAACCACCAGCACCACCCAAAATACCAACAGAGAGCGGATTGATTCTTCATTTTACATGCCTCCGGTGCCAAGTACTAGACTGGTTAGTTTGGTCGCACTCGTGGCGGTGGTGATGCTCGTTAAGAAAGAAGTAAAGTGAAAGCATACTGGAGCTGAAAGTGGGGCAACACAAACACCAAGCAAGCACTGGTCTGGTATAAAGTGAGAGGAGATTTGCATGACGAAGCTAATGGCTTCCTTTCTCCAGTGCGAGCATAGAATAATAAAATCTAACGGAGAGTGAAAGCGATAAGGTCGACACGCTATGGCCAAACTTAGTGAAGGAATGTTTGAGCTGGAATCGTTATCCTCTTTTCCATCATCATCATCAAGCAGAAGACTTATGCAGTGTTTCTGCTCCTCTGGGGGTGCGGTGGGACGACTACGTGACCCTGATATTATTTAGGGACCGTTTAGGATGGGAGGGAGTGAGGTAATAATTTAATAATCAGGCTGGGTAGGAAAATATCGGAGTTTTAAAGAAATGATGGGTTCACATTATGCGTTTAATGGGGATGTTTTGATGGGTATTTATGTGCATACGTCATACGTAGAAAAATACTTATGAGGAAAGCTAAACACATGCGTAGTTGTGCATGTAACATCAAAAGGATGAAAAAAATACACAAAATAAAATATTCGGGAGAAAAGTCACATAAAAAATGAGGAAAAACATGTGATACATAAAATTCTAGATACACAAATATGTACACAAGCATCTCGAAGCACAAAAGGTTCGCAACGTAAAAAAATGCGGAAACCAGTCGACAAAAAATAAAAGAATGAGATAACAAAAAATGCGAAAAACATGACAAAAAATAAGGCAAAAAAGCACGCTGTTTATTTCGAACCTACAAAATTTAATAGATTGCTTTCCTTCACCTGAACCTGGCAGTGAGCCGTGTTGAGGTTGAGAATGAGACGAAAAGGCCAGGAGAGGAGGAGGCAGTTTGCAACCCAGAAGGCGAACCTGGATGAAATAAAGGAGGAGCAGGTGGTCTTGCGGTGGGTGTGGTTATGCTGGCCTGACCACGTCGTCATTTCAGGTGACCACCACTCATCTTCCGTTCTATGATGTGCAGAACGAAGGGTGAACGTTTCCTGCATGGAGAGATAGTCGTCGAGACGGCGGTGGTCCTAGGAAGAAATTTCCAACAATTATTGACATAACCTGTGACTGCAATTATCTAAATTGGCAAGAGTTAAGCATGCAAGGATAATAAGCAGTCTTTTTTTCATTGGTGATAACCTAGCCATGATTTATTTAACTCACAAAAATTAGATTCAGATTGAAGTACCCAACTATTTTCTTATAATTTGGAAACGTTGCCTTTAAGGCGAAAGTTTTTAAATGATAAGCAATTTTTTCCATTGGTGAAAACCTGGCCAGGATTTTTTAATTGATGAAAATCAGTGCCCAATTACTTATTTTTTATTTTTTATGCAACATCGCCTTCATGGCTAGAATTTTTTCTAAATTATCAAAAACTACGAAAGAAAAAAAACCTGCATTTATGTAAAGTTAACCTCGTGACCTTTACTCATCTAGGCAGGCAACCTTAAAACATCAAACCAATCTCATAAATCACCTCAAAATTAGAGGTATTACGTAGTATCGTTAAGAAATCATACGCGCAACTTGTTGGCCATATAAATTTGCATGAGTGAGTGGGTGGCCAATTTACAATTATTGCTCACAGTATTCCTCGACTTTCAGTGTGGTGCTTTCTCCTTGAAAACCACGATGCAAGCCAAAACGAGCCAAATACCAAACCACCACCACCACCATTCATTCTCCACTCTACTTCACTTTAGTTAACCACTTATTGTCACTCTATAATACAGCCTCGTTTCCACCCATGCAATCCAATCCAATCTGCTCGTTAAGCTTTGGGTGACATGGAACGAAATGAAATTGCTTATACTCAAAATCTAACCCACTTCTTGTCATAATAGCGACTCATTTATTTCATGAATCCATTAAAACGTATATGTATGTATGTGGATGGGGGGAAAGGAATTCAGCCCTTTTGGACTACTTAGTCAAGTGGAAATATATGGAATAGCGTCGAGTGGTTTGGTGTTATTTTGGAGAAAGGCCAACCGAGAAGAAAGTAATGAAAGTAAACTAAGGAGGGGAGGTTGTGTACTATCAACTAACGGACCTTGATGTTCTTTGGATATGTTGTAGTCTCCCATGAATGAGCAAGAACCCCCAAGTGGTTTTATGCCATGGCCACATTTGCGCCCACCACACCCACTCTAAGGCGTCCAAAAAACGGATAAGGTAGTGATTTTACTCGTTCAAATCCACGCCAAAAATTCAATTCTACTCGGATTTTGAAAATCCGTACTTCTGAAACTTTTAGTATTTATAAAATTTAAAATTCTGAATGAACATTGTTGTAGTAATAAACAACGCAAATTATGCCTGCTAAATAATCATCACAAAAGTTGAGTTTGATATTGGATAAAAGAGAGCAACTAGTATCTGTGCACAGAATTTCAAAATCCGAGTAAAATTGGAATTTTGGCGTGGATTTGAATGAGTGAAAGAACTACTTTCTCAGTTGTTTGGGCACTTTTGAGTGGGTGTGGCTAGCGCAAATGGAGCCATGGCATCAAAGCACTTGGGGGTTCTTGCTCATTCATGGGACACTACAACATATCCAAAGGCATCAAGATCCATGAGTAGATAGTACACAACCTCTCCTCCTCCTCCTCCTAAGTGGAGCAAACCTCATCAATTAAACCCGCCCGTGATGGTAATAAAAAGGAGAAATTTGTTCCCCCTAAATTGAACTAAATTGAACCATGTCATGTTTTTATGCATGTCGAGACCAACTAAAATATGAACTGGGTGATAAACTGCCAATAATTTTGAGCTAGACTGGAACGAGGTAAGAAATTGTTATTTGAAAATTAGTCTCTTATTACCTGGAAAAATGAGTTTCTCTGCTCCTCAAATTCATCCTGGACGTGCTTATTCGTAAACAGAAAGGCCGTCGTGAACTTGATTTTGGTGGCGAGGTGATCTTCTAAGCCGACCAAGTTTGGCGTCAAATCACCCACACCGCAACATCCAAAGTAAAAAGCGGCTTCGTCCTGAGCTGTGGTGACGCGTTCATAGTAGATTTGCGTGGAGGGGACTTTGTGCCCTTGGTGAGTTCGAGATATGACTCGCATTCGGCGAACATAGTGATACGACGACGCCTTCCAAGATATGCGGGGAAGAGAGCGAGAAAATGTCGACAAAAGGGTGTAAGCGTCTGTGGTTAGGTACTGCAAAGAGAGACATTCATTTTTAAATTGACGGAAAATCGAGCCATTAAAATAGTTCTAGAATTAAAATTTGTATAGTGTAATTTTTCACTGGAAAGTGTGAAACGGTAGATGAAACGGATAGGTGAGAATTTTAAAACTTGTGTTCAGTCCTAAAGTTTCCCTCGTATTCTGCACATTCCCGAGAATTTCAAACTTCAAAACTAGAATACTCACCTTGGGCTTTCGCAACATGGTCCAAACATCGCAATGCCAGCATTCCACTAGATTCACAGCGAAACACAATGAGTCAAATCTGAATCTGAGCCCAGAAATAGAACAAAGTTTGGTTGGAGGAAGGGTTTAAATACCTTGATACAGACCGTACAACATGAGGACGAATGACGCCGGAAGGATAAAGGTAAAGTCTGCACAGGCTGTGGTTTGATGCTCTCTAATAAAGTAAACCACTTTCAAATATAAAAGCCTCATTACTTAACAAGTGCGGCTTTTGTTGTGGTCGCCGTCATGTCAGAATGATGTAAAATAACAGCTAACTAATGGACTAATGCAGTAAATAGTACCGAGTAATGGGAAATGCGTCATAGTCGATGTGTATCTTGGTCACGGTCGTCATCCGACACCAGGTTATGGTTGAAAGTACCGCGGCAATTAGACTCGTTAGAATTAGGCATTTTAAATTGGTCTGTTTCCTCAAGACTTGGAGTAACGTGTAGCGTTGGGGGGTTACAATCTGTAACGGAAGGAAAACAAAGTTTAAACTTGCCGCTGTAGCGCGGGAGTACCCGACTTATATCTTCTAGCATTACGGCGCGGTGGCGGGATCTTCAAAATTATTACGAAAAGTATATATGTAACATTACATAGCGATTCATACAAGAGGCTTGAAATTACTGGGTCACCGCACTCAACTAATTCATTCAGAGAGAAAGGACATCATCATTCATCGCATTATGCCGTGCACAATTTCAAAATCCAACATTCCCAACACTAATCACATGTCATAAACTTTCTATAAAATTCACATCTCTCGCGTAAAAAATAGGTCTCCATTAACAAAGTGAATCCAGTCCCGACTGACTGCATTTCACCCCAACAAAGTGGAATAAAATGTGGAGAAAGCACTTTATGTCCGGCCCAGCTACTCTCATCCATCTGACACATCCGTCCGTTGTCCATTCTCGGTTTCCTCTCGTGCAGAGTGGTCGAGATTTTGTGTCCATTGTGTCCACCAGCCACACCATTAACCACAACAATATTCCTGAAAACCACAAGGGAAACTGGCCCGAATAACATCGTCCCTCCTCCTCCACCCACCCACCTATCCTCCTCTCTGCCTGCCTGCCACAATGGCTTTTGTCCTTTTTGGAGTGATTTATCATCGTCGTCATCCAGCCCGTCGTCACCACGATTCCGAAAAAAGGATTCATGCAGACTGCCAGTTGCAGTCGTACTACATTTACTCAAGCTTTCACCACTGCCCATTCATTATTATGATAAGCAGCTTATCATCAACATCATCATTATTATTAGCTCTAGCTTCCTTCCCATCCTATCCGTCGATGTGTCCTTCATTCATTGTCAGATCTACTCCCAAGACGCGGACTAATGGTCCACTCCATTATGTATACGGTTTGGTCAATATTGTTGTATAAAGGGGTCCCTATAGTCGTGTTTGCTTGTTATTTATGTGAGTAAATAAATAATTTGGTGATGCTGGATTGCTCATTGTTCGTGGATGATCATGCGTTGGTGTTTATTATTTATTTATTTCGCGTTATTTTCGACTCTTTTGGCCCAGTATTATTTGCCAGCGCACTAATTTATTGGGCGAGCCGAGTTTGCCAAGTAATTAATTAACTTGCTTTCAACTGAAGTGGTAATAATAATGAAAAGTTATTAAATGAAATAAAGAAGCCTGAGAAATAATGTGGAAAGGTGAAATGAGGTCGCAATCCCGACTATTTTTGGTACTTGCAGTCCTACAGCTTCTTCAGACAGGTAGATAAGTAAGGCATGCACACAAACAGTAGATCGCATGTGAAGATTTCAGATCGGATTTTGCTTTACATTTCCCCGAATTCCGGGGATATTATAATTTTCTGAAATCTTTGATATTTGATCTGCATCACAGATTTGGCACAGAGTCGTCGTCGTCGTCCTAGCATCGCTCGAGGGTATTATTCTACAAGGGGGAAGAAAGTATTTCGGAATACGAGGAAGTGGAATACCCGGGTAAGTACATAAGACAACTTAACTTTGGTGACACTAGAAGGCAAAAAAAATCTTGTAAATTTTCTTTACACAGAGAAGAATCTCGAGAAGAGGAGTGTGTATGTATGAATATGATGACGATGACAGACGTCCGAGTAATAGAATAACAACACCTGGATAAAATTTTAATTTCAATTTTTTCTGGATAGAATTTTTTTTTCTGGATAAAACTGTATCATCACAATAAGTGACGCAGCCTCCATTTCGTGATTGGTGGCGACTTGGATATTCGGACCCAACACCAAGCAACCCTACAACTTCACCCAACATGGCAAAGATCATTTTCGAATTATGTATGAACAATGACGCCACATCTGACATAGTTTTATGGCAAAAGATACCTCACACGTCAACTTGTGATACACTTCCGGTGTCACATTGTGACAAAATAAAATGAAAAATTGCACAAGAAATTGTTTCCACACTCACCTGAGGCACTTCGAAACCAGTGACGTTACTCATTTCCTAAATTTTTTATAAGGTTTCAGATCCAGGGGGAGTTTAACTTTCACTCGGTAAATGTAACACGCACTTTCACCACCGTCTCACGTAGCCCCAGACAAGCAATAAATAAACGTTCCGTTCACTGCTACCCGGGTCGGGTTACTTTCTTCGACTGGAGAAAGTTTGGGAGATACAGACACCTAAATTCCAAGTAGAGACAGCAGCCAACTTTCTCTTTTGTGGGGAAACTGAGAGCTCGATTCGATTTTGGCAGCCCCGACCTTCCATCCAAGTCAGGAAATAAATTTGTGCAATGTTTTCTGGAGCTTATTAAAGTATGCAGCATGTAGTAGGAGGAGAAGGTTTCGTACTTTTTGAAGGGGGGAGAGGGGGGAAATTGTATTAGCTCGAAAAGACCATTTTTCTGCATGATGTCATCTAACGTAACCCCACCCAAAATGGGAAACACGTCAAAAACAGAGTAACAGCAAGCCCGCATTATTCCAGTTTTATGCTCGGATCGAGAAAAAGAATGGGAGGGAGAGAAACATGTTCATCTCGTGTTTCTCAACGTTATCAGAACATAGGCGACGAGATCTTGAGTCGCTGCCAAAGTTGGCAGGGTTTCGAGGAAAATGGGCGAAATTGAGTTTCCGAGAAGGAGTTTTTATGTATAATGCAATATTTGAAGATGGTCTTTATGAGTTTTTGCGATTTTTCTGTGTCAAACCGTCTGAAAACAAAGATTGGAATTTTGTCGTAAACAAAATGTCAAAACTTCCCAAATTACATATAAATATAAGTAAATAATATATGAAGTTTTAAAAATAATTCCATCCGACAGTACACGTTGACAAAATTTGAAAATTTCTCAAAAATAGCGCAGATATAAGTTAAAAAAAATAATAAAAGGTAAAAAAAATCCTTTATTAGTGATGTGAAAGTCAAATTTAAAAAGGACCAAAATCTATCCAGATGGCGAATCACGCATGCAATTTGTCCCATTATCGTGGCATACCGAAACCCTGGCAGCTTTAACATGGGCGACTCCACCACGAGCGACGAAAATCCAAATCCCGTGAAGTAAAGGCATAATCTAGAATAAATGCTGACTGACGACAAGACACAAAGTTGCTCCTTTCTCCCCTAACATGCACAGAGTAATGAATTGTATTAAATTTTAGGTTTTTCTCCTCGTCTCACTAGATTGGATTGAATTGGGGAAAGCAGAGAAAACTCTGCCCGACGATATCTACCCATCTATCTACTTATCTATCTGGGTCTGTTGCTCGCTTGTTTATTTTTTTTGGGACAGGAGCCCAGGATTGGGTCGAATTTGTTGCATGTTCACTTATTTACTTTCACTTTGGCTCAGACAGAAAGCGGAATCAGTTTGTTGGAGCCGTCAGGTCGGCGAAAGTAGCAATTTGCCCTAATAATTTATGCATTTGATGAAAGAGAGGGAGGGAGAGAGGGAGAGAGAGGTTGTTTTTGGTAATGTCTCCCTCTTTGTCTTTGTCGCTGGGTGTGGTAAACAAGACGAAGGATAGTGGTCCCATTTATTTGGCAAGAGTGGTTTTTTTGCCTATAATTGAGATTGGGTTTAGGGTGTAACGGGAAGGTAAATAATGGACCAAGAAATCTCTGTGGATCAAAATGCTTAGTTCAATATGTAACAGGAGAGAGGTTGGAGTCATCATTTATGTATTTGGGGCAATTTTTGATGTATTTAGTTTCGAAGATTTTTATTTTCACTTTAAGGAAGTTCAGAAATTTGTGTTTCTTTAAAAAATATATAGAGAGCCCACCGCCTCTTGCATGACAAGAATGAATGAATCACGGTGAGAAAGAAATAAGGTTGTGTAAGTAAACAAGTCTCATATTACGAGCTTGGTTGCATACAAACTAGAAAAATTATTACAAATTGTACATGAAACTATGATAATTTTATGTACGAAAATCGCATTCGAGTATGTCGTAAGAGATTTATTTTGTTAATGTTACATAATTTCGTTTTTTAGTGATATTTTTTTAATCTGTAATGATTGATTGATTGATTGATTAAGTTTTTATTAAGGGTGTCGAACAAGCGTCAGTACAAGTACTGTTTTTCAGCTTTGGACATCAAACGCAGCAAACTCGAATACAAATCTATAAAAATACGAACTAAAGATGTGTAAATTTGACTATTGAAATCAAAACCATCATTTCAATTCTTGATTTAGTTAGCTTCAAAATAGTTGTAAATAAAATATTTTTACAGAAACTTACCCATAAAGGTTTGCTTATAATTATTAGGCAGAGGTTTTTTATTTAAAAAAGAAAATGAGATTCCTGCATTTTTTGTATTTTGCAAAATATGCCAAACTTAACTGGGCCAGACTGAAGCCACTTGGATCGCCCGAGGGGGAGGAGTATTCTATCAAATATTTTACAGATTATTGCCCAAAGGAGTAAATATGTACATTGTGTCATGTGTCTACTTGTTCTCCTCGCGGTGTGAGATTTGTGGGGCTGCCACTTACTTTTACATCGAATGCCAGGATGGACGAGGAGGAAATGTCCAGTCCATGAATTCATCCGTCCATCCATCACCGTCATAAATAAATCAGAAAAGGAGGACTGGAGGGATCAGTAACCATGTCCATAATTAAACTTGACCAATGCACACTCGACAAGTTGATCCTATACGAGAGACGAAACAATTAGTGATTTATATGCTCCCAGCAGGAGCCAAGCAGCTTAATTAAGTTAATTACAGGGTCGTCAACTCGACTTGACTTCAACTATCGCTTGGCTTACTTAATACCATTAAATCTTTCCCATTTTCTTCCACTTTTGGGTAGAAATCTGTACCCAAAAATTGATGATATTGCACATCAATTTCATAAACATGACAGAATAATGTGGATCATAATTTTTTATTGGAGAGGTTTAAACACAAAATTAAATGTGTTAAAGGTGTAGATATGAGTAAAAATTAAGGTCGTATTTATATTTTGCTCTAATTTTATGGTATATATACAATGTTGATGTTGATGCGATACAAAAAATTGGTATGGATCCTGGAGACTATTTAAAGCGTGGGCTAAGGAGGTGTGGACATCCAGACGGAGCAGAAGTTAGAAGAAATCAAAAACTTGGAAATATTTTGGGGTAAAAATTCATCATGGGAAATCCCACTAGCGAAGACGTTCCAAAGGTTTGCAATTTTCTAATAAATTTACCCATTTAACACTTATTTCAAACATTATGAATTTATGAATTGATTTTTTAATGCATTTTTTGTTACTTTTTCCAGGCTCGCGTGACCACCCCACGAGAATATATTGAAGAATGCCTTCAAGTTCATAACGAACTTCGCACGAAGCACGGTTCGCCTCCAATGGCAATTAAGGAAGAGGTACTAATTGTACAGTTTCTGCGAAATTAATGTTGAAAATTAAAATTTCTCCAAATTCTCCAGATGTGCAAAATCGCCCAAGCTTGGGCTAATCATTTGACCACGATCGGTAAGATGGAGCACTCTAATACGGAGGGATTCGGAGAAAATATCTACTGGGCGACGAACGACCCATCAGCGAGGACCGCGGTGGAAAAGTGGTACTCGGAAATTAAGGACTACAATTTCGCCTCCGCGTCCGACCAGGTAAGGCAACAAAGACTTGGCTTGTTTATCAGGTGTTAATAATAAGTAAATCATAGCAATTTTAAAGAAATATTAATCTTACTATCTAGCCGCAAAAGGGGACCGGTCACTTCACGCAGGTCGTGTGGAAGGAGAGTGTCGAATTGGGCGTGGCCAAAGCGACGGGTGCCAAGGGGACTTACGTCGTCGCGGTTTACGCCCCACAAGGGAATTACATGGGCGAATTCAAGGACAATGTGTGCTCCAAGTAGATAAATAAAGTGACCAACTATACCCGAGTTTGAAATTTTTTAACCCATTTTAAAAGGCTCGAATTTCGGTTATTTTTAAATGTTTAATATACATGCAATCATACTATGACGAATCTGTCAATTCTTTACCATTGTGTAAGATTGATTGAATAATAAAATAACGCAATTATGTAAATTTTTGTCATCTCTTGATCTATCATTTCTTATTGAAATGCGAGACAGGTTTTCCCTACATGTAATAAATTCGACTTCTTATAATATGTAATCAAGGTCGCGCATGTATATTTTTTCTCAATTCAGTACACTTTGTTTCTACTATGTATAGTATCTGTTTTTATGCTACTAACAATGTTAGTGACTAACATACATAGTCTCAGCAAACGAAGGGTACCAGTAAATTTCAAAAGTAAAGCACATACTTAAGTGCATACACGTATACTGCATATTATACATGTCGAAATACCGTAAAAACTCAAATAGTAGCCCTTGCCCAAATAGTAGCCCTGCTCAAATAGTAGCCTTATTCGAATTATAGCCTTGCATCAACTTAACCACACACCTCCTAGCCAGGTCATTTAAGTAATTCAATTATAATTCAATTTAATCGCAATTACATACAAAAAATCGAAGTGAACACGAAATTCGGCTGATCGAAGAAATTGATTAAGAGCAGGTTTGAACAATAGAATTGTCATATACTGCGATTCTGGGGGAGAAATTGGTGCTGTTATTAAAATTTAATTAGAGCTTGATTCTGGAAACAAAATTCAATAGCTGTGTGCAAATAGTAGCCGTGCATCTTTCCGTCAGTTTATAAATAGTGACCCTGCCCAAATAGTAGCCTTGCTCAAATAGTAGCCGGGTCCCAGACACCGATTTTGTAAATAGTAGCCCCCGGCTACTATTTGAGTTTTTACGGTATGTCAAAATTTTTATCATGGACCACCGGAACTTTTTCGCTAGTTTGGCTTTGGGCAATCAAATCATAGCTGACCTTGGGGTGCCATTTAGAAATTTTACATATAGATAAAGAAATAGAAGATGACTGCGTGCGACTAATTTTTAAGCTATTATATCATTTGATGTAGTGCGGTCAGAAAAACGTAATTGGTAGATAACGACAGATACTAAATCAACAATGATATGCAATTTTATCTGAACTGGTCAATAAAAATTACACTCTTCTTGCTGATACTAGGTAGCCAATAGCTAAGGATAATAAGTATAATAAGGAGACTTTCAGTTCTGGGAAGAAATGCAAACAAACAAATTTTCCAGCTATCTTTTCCCTATGAAGAAACAGTTGAAAAGTTGACAACATAAATATCTAAATGGGCAATCCCATGTTACATATATGTCAGAATAAATGCATGTGAATTGTCCTTATCTCTAATTTTTTAAGTGGTTATTATTCTCCCTTTAATTATTTAAGTAACTTCCCTGCTTTATGCACACGGCACACTAATGTATATTTCCAAAACTAGAATTGTACCTACTTACATAAACTTATTTCAACTAACCAAAGGGTAGAGTCCAACTTGAATTTTATCCTTAAAATGCAAAGTTGATTTAAATCTGTACCCATTCCTCCCTCATCCTTCGTCCAGTCCACTTCATCATCATCATCATGTCGAGAGTATTTTTCCTCGTCGTGTTCTTGGCCTTGGCGTCATCATCGCTCGGAGATAAGGTCAAAAAACAGCCCTTCATCGACCTCAGTTACGCCTTCAACAACGAAACGGTCACATGGCCGGGTAGGACTTCTACCTGGAATGTGGAAATCGAGGGTGAAACACCAGACGGGGTTTGGATCGCTTCGAGAGGATTTTGTACCTCGGTAAATGAGTACTCATTTCACTCAAAGTAATGTTCAATTCATTAACGGGTTCGAAAATTTCACAGGAACATACAGCAACCCATATAGACGCGCCGTATCACTTTCACAAGGCTGGGAGGAAATTGGACCAGATTCCGTTGGAAGATTTAATCGACACTCCTGGAGTTATGATCGACATTTATGATAAGGTGCACCGCATGGTCAATGGGAATTTGACAGTGGTGGAAAACTATGTACTGACGAGGCAGGATGTGCAAGAGTAAGTTTTTAGCGCGACACTATTGTAAATAAGAAACCCGGTTTGTGGGCGCAGATGCGGGAAGTTTAAAATTCAATTTTTGGTTTCAGTTGGGAACGGAAAAATGGCGTCATAAAACCCGGATCGATCGTCCTCCTCCGAACGGGATGGGGCGAGCGTTGGCCGGATGTCAAGGCGTACCGTGGGATTCACGAAACTCCCCCTGGGAAGGAGGACAAGCCCGTAGAAAAGAAGGCTGATGGGGAACCGGCTTCCGTCAAAGTGGGTGATCTCGGTCTCAATTTTCCCGGATACGATGCAACCGCAGCTAAATACTTGACCGTGGAAAGGGGCGTTTTAGGTGTTGGGACTGATGCCATAAGTATTGATGCTGGAGTGAATTCGAGGGTGAGAAGATTTATTTACATTTGCTGCCACGTTATAGAAATACTTAAGAAAGAAGGTTTCGAAATATGCGAGCAAGAAATTCATGAAACTGCATCCATTTTTCGGAGAGGTCCAAATGAATGTATTTCATAAATTTCATAGCCGCGAAAAATGTACACCATTTTACTTCTCGCAATTTTCACCAGTAGCCCAATTTTAAATGCCACTTTAAATTTTGTATTTCTTTTTAATTCTAGTTTTTCCCAGCCCATCAAGTTTTTGCCTCCCGGAGCGTTTGGATGCTAGAAATGGTAGCGAATCTTCATCTCCTCCCCCCACGCGGGTTCAATTTGTGGGTCGTCCCATTCAAAATTGACCGTGGGACGGGTGCGCCAACCCGAGTACTGGCCAGAATCAATAACTAACTAACCAACCTGGGGAAAACTTGGTCGTATCATTTTATCCATTTTACATACTTACGTTTACATTGCAACGCATTTACATAGTGAAACTGAAAAAGTCAATTTTTTAATTTAATAAAAAATAGTGTAATTGTCATTTTAAATACGAGTACCAGATGATAAAATTATATGGGTCGCTTCATTAACAACATGCACCAAGCGTTATACACTCTTATCGATTACATAATTATCAAAGTAAAACAGGTTATGCAAATTTAAGAAAACGTTTTCACTACTGGAGTTCACTGGATTATCAGCGATAATTAAAATGCAAGGCATGTATTTACATATGGATGCAAGGATGTATTATCTAATTGTACATGCATAAATAAATATACGCATGAATCTCCTATTAGTTATTAAGCAAGGTGGCAGGGATCATGATAATTTTTATTAAGTAGCTGGAATGACGACAGTCCAGTTAAACAGATGTGTATGATGATATTAGAACACCGAGATCTTTTTGAGCTGGATAAATATACTTTTAAGTCACGATATAAATAT